TGAGTCATGGCGAAAGAGAACCATGCAGGTTTTCCTTTAGTATCACACACCAAGAGAAAAAAATCAAACTGTAGTCTGATATGTTCAAGCTAATTTACTGTACTTGACATTGCACGTCCTGTGACGTGACTGTTATGCACATCGCATCTTCGATGGTGCAATGATTTATTGTGCAGCCCTAAAACTGAGTATAAATTATTTTTGTGTCAAGTCCTGTGAAACCTCTTTGGCAGATAAAAGGAATTATTCAGAAGTGATTAAGTAAAATTGCTAAAAGTCCGCCAGCAAGATACCGTCAAGTGAGTGCATGGTTTCTGTACCCATCACTGACAAACTCCAGATGTTGAGGTATTAGAGAACAGCTCATGCCCGTTCCTGCTTCGTAGCAGAATTGTATGCAAATTTGTTGGTTAGACAAAGGAGAACTCTGTGGAGGTATATTTGTTTGCAGCCTGTGTTTCTATTTGAAGATAACTGCTTTTGGCTGTCTCTTTGGAGAAATGATTTATTAGGTAACTCTTGGCAGGTTTCTCCTCTAAAAGAACCACAAAGCTTGAAGCAATACATCAGTGCAAGACAGCATACAGAAATGGGCCAAAAGATAGACATACACAGATACTGTAGTTATCTTGTACTGTTTGCACATGAATGATTTTATTTCAGCTTTTTTAACAGAAAGCTGCATGTCTATCAGGTTTCTACTATTAGAGTTTGGCTAGATCCAGAGATCAAATTGACCTGTTTGATTCTGTGAATGTTTGAGGTCTTTGGTTAAATCACAGAGTGGACATACAAGTGGTTGGATCTGACTTTCATGAAGTACTAGCTGGAACTAGACTAAGTATACAAGGAGCTGACCTTAAAGGGGAGATCAGCCAAATTTAATTTGGGTATTGTAATTGATTTTTTATGTGCTGTCACAGGACTTACACACATGCCCACACTGAAAGACATGATTAAACCTTCTCAGAGAACAAGAGCTCATTCTGTTTGTTTGTTTGTTTGGCTGAGCCTGATGAAAGAATGCAGAATGTGTGGAGTCCTTGAGATTTATTTATTTATTTATTTTGAGTCCTTGAGATTTAGACGGCACCCAGATGTCAACACAAAGTTATCTTACTATGATTACAGTGCCCAAAGCATTTTTTGAACTCAACTGCTTTGTCACATTCGTACAAGAACTTTAAGACACAAAGCCAATGATCTGCGTGTCTCTGTCTGTCAGGTTCCCGGTTAGTGGTTTGTCTGATGGAAAGTGGCACCATGTGGCCATCAGTGTGGCTGCCAAGCGGCTCGCACTCTATGTGGACTGCTCTCTGCTGGAGAGTGTGGACTGGGTTTACTACGGCATGGGGATCAGCACCGACGGTCTGCTCATGGTTGGAGGAATTATTGAGAGCTTTGAAACTCCGTTTGAAGTAAGTGGCTCTGCAACCTTTTGACTGATGAAAAAAAGAAGGGGCTCCAGCCCTGACACCTCTGTTTATTGTACATAGACCCTGACAATATCCGGTATGATTGGTCCTGTTTAGATTTAAAGCATTTTATTTATTTGTTTTATTATTTGTTTCTTGTTGCACTTCATATGAATAACAACTTTGCTATGCAACGAACAGATTAAAGCAACTAAATAGATGGCCATGTGTGATGTCCAGTTGATTTTCTTTTACTTTGAAAAGTCATGCATTCCTGTTCCTATGATGGTTTCATTGTTTTCACTTTAACTTTTGTTTTGCTAAAACGTTCTTCAGCCTTTTCTGCTTTCTTTGTTTTCTGCATCTTCCTCTGTGCTCTCTGATTTTGACCTCTTTCAACCAGTTAACCATTTCGAAGGTTATTTTTTTCAAGTGGGCTTCTGTGTTTTTAATGTTTTTCGTGGTGTTTTTTTTATCTATTTTTTTTATTGTCTTGATTTAGTTAACCTGTGTCTTATTATCCTTCTGCCTGGTGTTCATTTAGGATGTGTGCCTCTGTTCAGTCTTTGATCCTTGGTTTGCTGATGTCTCATTTTTTTTTTTAAATTGTTTTCTTGATACCTTTTTTGCGTTTTGTTTCTTTTCCCCACTAATCTGTGCTTCCTTATTTTCATTCACCTGCTGGGCTTCTCCTAAGAATTGTGTTATCAAATGTGACATTGATGGTTCTTTAAACTTTTATGTGAGCATCTCAAGAGCATTTTGATGGCCCGTAATGCATTGTTGATATTAGTTGCTATAACAAGCTTTGCGGATATAGCTTGAGGATTAGAGCAGGCAGTGACTGCATCACAGTGGGGGTGAGGACGAGCGTTATAGAGGTAGCATCTGGATTTGTTTTTAGCAACAATTAAAATGGATTTTCCATCCATCTATCCCACGACGACAGATCCCTGAGGTGCTGACAGTCTTATCTCTGGACAATCTTTTGTGTTCGACACAGTGAAACCATATATTAATGAACTCTGCACTTATATGCAACTATTACTGCCATCCAGTGCAGCATGAGTAGAGCTTCTCAGAATAATTTTGTTTGTTCTGGATTAGGTTCTCATAAAAAATGATTTTAAAGGGAGGCAAAATGTGTGGCATGTTGAAACAGGAATTTCTGGGTGCTTTGCTTTGCTTTGTGCTGTAAATAAACAAAATGATCTGTTATTTGCTAAGTGCAAAAGTGTGTGCTCTTAAAATGGAGTTGATTACTTGTACATGATTGCTTTAGTTATGCACACGCTGCATACTTTAGGCTACATTGTAAAGATCCAGGAGTGACAGCTGCATTTGGTTTTTGAAGAAAAGTCTGTTGTATATTTCAGTCACCAATTACATTAATAGAAATATTTGTCCTTCATGAAAATTTACTGCAGATGCATCTGTTTAACAGACATATGTTGTTTGATCCCCTGTCTATTTCAAGGTCATCATGGGATTTTTCTAACAGAGGTACTTGAGATTTGGTTCTTCTTCAGAGGACATGAAACATCTCTAAAACTATCTCTTTATATACAGTAACACAGGTCTGTGTTAAATAAAACATAACATTTCTCAGATGGATTTTCCTTAAAGTCCTTACAGACTGTGTGTCTCTTACTTTTCTTCTGTAAGCAGCTGAGATCAAATAGCTTGTTAAAATGCATTTTACTTTTTCCAAAATGGACCTGGACTTCATTGCTTTCATTTGGATAAACAACGAGAAATTTGCATAAGCAAAGTAATTTCTACATGTATTGTAAACATTCATGTATGGTTTCACTTACTTTAGGTTCAGTAAGTCTCAAAGTCATGGGCATCTATCTCCTAAACAACGGAACTTATGCCATGCTGCACTCACACAAACACAGAGGCATGCTCTCACCTACCATCACACTCTTATTAACATAGCCTGAGGACAGAGGTTTGCTCATGATTTGTTTTTCTTGCTTGGCCTGACGGAGATTCACTGGAAAAGGACCCTGGGAACTGCAGTGAAATGCATGACCTGCAGTAAACCGTGTGTGTGTGTTCACCTGACGGCTTTTGTCTGTTCATTTGGGTTTCATTATCTTCACATTCTGTATTGGGGTCCTTAACATTACTTGTTACTTTTTGTTAAAAAAAACCTCTAACTCTTGTTAAAATGCTGTGATATTTAAGTGACAACTTCCACTCCTGAGACTATAAAATGCAGCAGAGATGTAGAACTTCTCACTTTCATCGGACTAAAATTTATCACAAAGCAGGTTGTTGCTACATGTTCAGGTGTAGTTATTGAAGTGCTGCTGAATATTTCTGCAATACAAGATTGTATAATTAAAACTGCAGATGTAAAGTTTCTTTTGACAACATTTTAAAGGAATACATAAATATGGTGGAGTATGTTCTAATGTCTGGCCGTTTGGCAGTAGAAGCTTCTGTATGCTTTGCTGGATAGCATCAGGGGTGACTGTTGATTTTTAGTGTGCCTCAGGCTCTCTGCAGATGTCTTACCTCACCAGTATCACTAATGCTCAGTAGATGGGTGTTGGTGATCTTCTGGGCAGTTTCAGTGCCCTCTGGTATTTAGTCATGGACATCCCATTCCAGTTTGTAATGCTTCCAGTTAGGATCCTTAATAATGTTCCTCTGTAGAAGTGAGCTAGAACTTTGCATGGTAATTTTAGGCTTCTCAGATTTCCTTAAAAGCTTTCTTCATCACATGTAACATAGATGAGGAAAAGTTTTTTGAAAATGAATATTAAAATATTTTGATTTTGTTGTTTCAAATATTGCAACTTAATATCACCACATTTCGGTTATAGGTAAATTAAGTTAAACTTCTAGTATGTCAGGCTATCCAAACTGATATTTCACAGGGATAACAAGCAGGACATGAAGAGACGTTTACTTTTTTGACGTTGTGTTTTCAGACTGCATGTTTGGTTGCTCTTTAATTTCTCTGTGCAGGGTCATCTTCGACAGCTGGCCTTCCTGATGGGAGATCCAGATGCTGCCCAGCAGCACTGTAGCCACCACCCACCCCTCTGCAGTGTCACTGCTCCTAAGCCTCCCCGCTTACCACGCACCAACAACCCGCTGCAGGTGAGGAATGCTGATTTAAAGAAACGGCAAAAGAAATTAAATCAGGAACATTTTCTTTTGACTTGTATACACAGCAGCCCTCAAACATGTCACTGAGGTATTTAAGGTGAAGCCATCCATGTCTTTTGAAGCCCACAACACAAACGCTCAGGCTCCTGCAGTTAATTCACTGACAGCACACACTGCTATATAATTTAATATAAGCAATATGAAAGATCACCAGAGGATTTAAAATAAAAACTGCACTGACTCCTGTGGTTTTGATCCAGTCTGGTGAATTTAACAACTCGTGAGTGTTTGGTTGTTCATCAGTGCAGGCTTGAACAGTCTTTGATTGTGGTTTTTTTATTTAGAAATTGTTGCCTCTGTTTCCACACAGAATATACTGTTGTCCTCAAATGACCTGGAGAACCTGCTGGGGGATGCAAAGGACAAGTCTTTTTTGAGCTTTGACCGAACTGTAAGTAGGATATTGGGTGTCTTAATTGTTAATTGTTAACCAGAAATTCACTTTTAATTCGCATGTTAGAAACAGTGAAAAAGTGCAGTTACCTGGTTTCACAGCTGTCGCCTAGTGCTGTAGTGACAGACTATGGGCAGCTTATAACCAGTGTATATATACACCGACCACTGGTCTGGTTTACGTAGGTTCTTTTTTTGCCATTAGTGTCTGTGTCTGTGAAACCAACAGTCCGTCAGTCTGCAACAGTCTGTCATTAATTAGCCATGCTGTGCTGAGCCTCAGGCGTCAGAGGCCTCATCCAGCAGTCCCACCTCTGTCTTTGGCTAACTGGTCCACTTCACATGGTTGTGTGCGCTGCATATGTGTGTTTAAGTGCTTGATCTGTGAGACACTGTGTGTGTCTGCTCACTGGCCTTTGTTGTGGCCTGCAAGAGGCCACATTCCTTCACTGAGGCTAAAAGTCTGCTTTGATAAATTGTAGCAATGGCTCATTTCTTTTGATCTTTACCAAATGCAGTTTGGGATTGGATTAGTGGTTTTATTTTGAATATTTAAAATGAAGTAATAATCAGCACAGCTGATTCCCATACTATGTGTAATCAGCAGCTCATCTGGATTCAAATGAGAGTATTGTTTTCTGAGCATCAGGACCGGACTGAAGCTGTCAACTTTTGTGCAGAACAACATTACACGTGCCGAGGTGGGTGGAGCCAGGGAGCCCCATCCATCTTCTATGTGCAGAGGTGAAGAAGCTTGACAGAATAGTAAGGGGGTTAGGGGTCACTGATAAGAGACAGACTAGTAATTTGAAGTGTGAAAAGTGATTTCCCCCTGTTGTTAAAGTAGTCACCTGATTATTTCCAGTAAATTAGCTTTTGGATGATCTGATGGATTTTTGGTATTCTGTAAAGTTTCTCTGCTGTTTATATAAATAATATCTAAACACTATCTCTCATATTGTTCTGTTTCCTTACTGCTTACTGCTCAAACTATAGGTTGTATGTGAAATATTGATATGGCCACCAAGAAATCCCTCACCAGTTTGTGGATTCGCATTTTATGAAGCTTTGAGTTTTGAAGCTTTGAGGGGTTTTCACTGAGGCAGTCCTGGTGTTTTTAAACCACATCTGACAAGCAAAGTTTGGATCTAATGAAATAACTGAGAAAACCAGACTTTCCCCAGCTAACTACTTGTGACTGACAAGTTAGCCAATGAACATAGCCATAATGTTTTATTCACCGTATTCCAGAAACTGGGAAGAGTCACCAGGAAAATGCTTAATGATGTCATGGATCAAGGTAGCCAAAGGCTGGCTTTCTCATAACTAGAGGAGTCGCCTCCTGCTGGCAGCAGCAAGAAAATACAGATTTAAGACCTTTTTTTTTTTTACTCATGTTTGCTTCACTTTTCCAACTTGGAAGCTAGGTCTATATTTCATACTCTCTGTATGCTGTTGCCTTAGTTTTCTGAGCCAGAAGTGACCATATTTGGATGAAATAATGAGAAATCATGTAGCAGTGAACATTGTACCACTTGTTTAGTAACCTGCATTTACAAAATGTATGGACAGAGATGGATAGCTGCTAATTCGTGCTAAGTAAAGAGTTAAGACGTGTTAAGTGCACAGCAGTCCAAACCTTTCTGTCAAATCATTGCATTAAAAAATACTCCAAAAGGCGAAGCCTAGCTCACAGATAGTTTGCTAGTTAGCACTCATCTATTACTTAAATCAGCCTAGGAAGTGTAAAATTAGCCTGGTCTAGTACCAGCCTGTAGAGTTGTTTATTTCTGCTGTAAAGTTGGGCATTACAACATGTAAATATTGGAGATAAACTTACTTTTAGAATCAGCCTCAAGTGGCCATTTGAGGAACTTCATTTTCCTCGTCTTTGGTGACAATTTTGAGGACAGGCCAGGTAGACTGAATGTTGAATCACTGTTGGTGATGAGTGCGAGCACACATGTAATGATCAGTTCACGGCCAGACACAGACATCATATGTTTTTGGCCATGCAGTGATTAAAAGGTAATTAAACGTGAAAATGTACTGTTAACATTAATTGCAATATTGATTGCTTATCAAATAAAACCGCCTTACTCTCTGTACCAGCCGATTCATTTGTTTCTACTTAAGATCGCTCAGTGTTTAAAATCATGTCAGTGATGATGAATGTTTAATCTCATCAGCACATCCCACATCAGCCTTAGGATGCCAAAATGTGCATACACATACTATTGTTCACGCACATGAACCAAACACTTCTTGAAATGCTGTACTGGCGCTCGTGTTTCTGGAATCACCATATGAGGAAAACAAAGAGGGCTACATATGTTTCAAAACAAAGGAAAAACAAAGCTGGTTTGAATTTACATTTTTGTGTATACAAAACATACCTTAAATAATCAGTGAGGGTCTGTTTGTCTTTAAAAAATGCAGCAGTGTATAGCCAGAGAAGCTACTACAACCTTGAATATTTAAGAAAAAAAACAAACGGGCCATGCCGTGCCACGCTAGCCCCACCAGGCAGAAGCTTCTACATCAGGATGGCATTGGGATTCCTTTTTGATGATGTACATGACCAAGACCTCTCCTGCTGTTTTGTGTTGTCGGGACTTTTTGGGTTTTTTCCAGGAACAAGCTGCCCCAGATCAGTCTTAATAGTCACTGAAATCTTCTTCATATGACTGCATCACATTTTCTCACGTAATTATCTCTCTGTCTGTTCATCTGTTTCTGTTTTCTGTCTTTTACTGCGTCTGATTCCGTCTTTCCGTTTTCCATGTCTCTGTCCTCTTCTATCTGTTTAAGTCTTTGCATCCTTGAGTTTTTGTTTTTTTGTTTTTGTTTTGTTTTTGCTGATGAAATTTTTGCATGGCATTGTTGTGTAACTAAATAGCTGTACTTAGCTACAAGTGAAAGTGAGTGATGATCATGGCTTATCATGTAGGTAACAATAAATCAGTGAATAAAGGATATAATTGTTTTTTCTGCCGTCTGTCTCTCATTATAGCCATGCAAACTATGCTTGCGGTGGTAAAGCTGCCTCTGGCTCTCTTCTGGTCCCTCTTCCCTTCTTTAAAAAAAAAAAAACATTTCTAAAGAAAGTAAATATAGCAACACATTAACAAGACCTATTTCTCTTTTGTTGAGGTCTGCTGCAGTCGTCTTTGAAACCTAACATTTCTGACTGCTGGGCCTCTTTGTTGGGGTTTCCTGATTTGATGAATGTCCCTTCTGGGCCCCCGTTGACAGGTACTCTCTTTAGAGACATGGCTTTCAACCAGTCAATGTACAGTACCTCAAATGTGCACAAAGATTTTAAATGGCACTGGAGGTCATGGGCCTTAGCTAAACATGTAATCACAAAGTCAGCGCTAACCTGAGTGTAATCTGACCGCTTTGAATTTATAATTAACTTGTCCCATATTAGTCAGAGTTACTTTGTTTTGCAAATTCTCTCTGTCATTTACAGCTTCTCAAATTGTGAACACATGTTGTTTTTCACCTATTTTACATAATCACTCAGGTCAGAGTCTTCCTTGTACAAGACATTTAATGTTAAGTCATCGATATGTACTGTGGCACGTTTTTAAGGGCTGTTTTATATTGTTGGCAGACTTTTATTGGGATAAAGAAGTAGTCATCAAAATGGGTTCAAGCTGTGCTATTAGTGCATGTACAGATAATAAAATGAGAAAGTTGTGAATCTTTTTCCCTTTCTTTCCTTCTCCCACTTCATCTTTGGGCCAATGGAAACTTGCAGCATATGTAACTAACTTCTCAAACTGTTCCTGCTGCTGTGTCACCTGACTCATGAGTCAGCTAGCTCATGAACATGGATAAATATTTCAGTCCAGAAGAACCCAAATGTTGCTGTATTGATGTTAGGATTACACAGAAGTCCCTGAAAATGTTTCAGCATGTGGGGGTTCCCTGCCCGCAAAAAGTTAGGGAACCACACGGTTAAACAACTGATCAATTGTTGGAGTAATCAACATATTAGCTTCCCAACATTATAGTCTACTAGAAGGCATGTGTTCAGATTTCTTTCCATGTGCAAAATGCATATTTTTCAGAAAGAGGGGGGAAAGAAGGAGGTAGTGCTGGAGAGCATGACGAAGCTTGCATTTGATTGTTTCTCTATGTTGAAGGTTACCAGGCAACTGAAACCAGTTTGTTGAAGGGGTTTTGTAGTTACAGCACTGCTTACACACGATTCCTAACAGTGTCAGAGACAGGCAGGGAAGCACACACACGCCTATGGAGTTAATGTTCCCTGTTCCATGTCTTGTCCCTTCCAAGTGTTTCCGTTAGGGTCTCTAGAGAAGTCCCCTTTCATAAAGCTTGTCAAACAATGGCTTTTAACTGTCCCACTGAGACAAAAGCAAAGAGGTTTGGGAAAAATGATCCATCATTCTGACACTTTTCCATGACTTGCTTAAACTGGTGAGAATGTCTTGCTTTACGTGAGGTGTCATTTTTGATGTCATGACGTAGCCTTAGCATTGAGGAGTGTGCCTGTTAATGAATTACCCATTTTAGGTTGATAAATGAAAATATATTTTTGATGGAACAGATGTGTTAACATGGATTTGCTGTCTTATTTATATATGTAGCAACTTAACTCCCTTTTCCCCTCATTTAACACCTGACCTTTGGCTGAAGACAAATGCTAAGACCGGGTCATCCAGCTGGTCTGAAGAGACTGTAAGATGGTCAGGTTAGCCTGGATTCAACCCTATGAGGACATGAGATACTTCTTCAGTGATTAAGGAGGTTATTGCTATTGTAGTGTGTGTTTGTGCACTTGTATGGACAGAAAGTTTGGAAATTATCATTGATCTCTTCCATCCTAGAGGCCTCTTTAGTGGCTGGTGGGGTGTAAAGCTGCTGCCAGTCAGGCTTCAGTCAGAAGGGAAAATACAATACAGTATAACTAAACTGAATTTACATTTTTGGAATTTGAAAGCGATTCTGTTGCTGATTCTGTCATGCAGTTGCATTAACTTTTTTCACCTCTCTGGAAGTGATTCCTTGCAGAAAACACCTGAGAACCACTGCTTCTCATGCTTAAAATGCGTAAAATTCCAATTTTCACAGGGTTGTTTTTTTTTTTTTTTAATTTCTTGATTGGTAAGGATGTTAATAAGGAGTAAGAGATAGTCCAACATTATTTGATCACGTTTGGAGCAGTGACTGACTAAATTGGGAGTGCAGTTTCACATGTGAAATGTGTATAATTAAAAAGTCTGTATGTTTAACCATGTGTTCAATAGGCTACTGGCTTAATGGGTTAACAAACAAAGAAAAAATCCTGTTTGCAAAGCATTCCTCTCATATCGCATTATTGTGAAAGTCAACATCTTCTCATGCCAGAATACTTCACGTTCCTTTATCATCTTCACCCTAATAGATGCACTTAAAATGGTTCTAGATATTAGTTGTGTCACATGTCAACTGTGACCTCGCCACAGCCGGTCACCATTTGCACTGGTGGCTGGGGTGCCCTCAACCTATTGCAATCTCCTGCTGAGTGATACATGTTGCCACTTGGGAGTAAAAGAAGCTGAAATAGAAAGGAAATCTTGACAGATGTTACAGTAATACCTGCACTCATAGGCTTGTATCTTCAACCTGCCCACGCTGGCTGCGCATCAGGTTGCAAAAATCCCGAGAAACATGACAAAGCAAGCTGCGCTACAAAGGGTGGAATCAGTTTTGGCATATGCCACCAATCACAATCATGAAAACAGCAAAAATAAAACATGTTTTAAGTTACCAGTTAGCATTAGCAAGGTTGCATAGAAAACTGAATATGCAAACCAGCAGATGCATCCCGCATGAGGCAGATACCTGTTAATAAGTGCTAAGTAACATGTTAAAAAAATACTAGAAATCTACTCAGCAAAACTTCTTTTTCACAGGCTGTTAGCACAATTAACCACAAAACTAGCTGTGATGTTTGTCAGATAATTACATTAATGAGGATATAATTGGCCCTTAGAGCAGGAGGATGGTTAGGAGCTCCAGTTTATTCATTAAAAATAGCAGATGCAAAACTGGCAGTCTGCTAGTCTGCTGTTGCTTTTGGCATGTATGTGTCATGTAAAGTAGCCAAGCTCCTAATAATGCATTAATTTAAATCTTCTTTTGAAATGATAGGTAGGCATTTTAACCAAGGAGTTTATGGAATTCACATTTAAGCCAGTTACAAGCAGCCATCTGAGAAACTCTGAGAAACTCCTCGGAGGTTTCAACCAATACTGTTCACATGGTAGCTTCCCTCTTTTTTTTCATCCTTGTGTTAAGTTATCGCTTCATTAGGATTTACTTGGAGCCATATCTTCAAAAGGTCAATAAAATCTGTTTCACAAAACACTTTGAGATCTTTCCAAGCTCTCCAAGAGTGAGGTCTCTTCAACCAAACTGTTGATACACTGCAGTTCAAATATGTTGGAACAGATAAAAAGTTATTTTCCTCAAGACAACATAATAAAATAAAGATTCATATTAAAACAATCATCTGGTGGGATCGATTTTGGCGCTAAAGGCATGCTTTTCTGTTGTTTTCTGTTGATACATCAAAGGCTCAGTGAAGGGCATGCAACATTTGCTATTTTCAAATATTGCCTAATTAGAGAGCGAGGATGAGGGAGCATGCTTTGTGTATCTGATTGATATTTCTTTGTTTTTATGTCAGCTCGATGGCCCTGCATGCTGTCAAGCTTTTCTGTTATGCACGTCAGCATACATCCAGCAATAATTTTTCATCTGCGTAGCAAGGTTTATAACTGTTTCCAATATAAAATAATTACAGACAAGTCAAACCGTGAAGAACAAAAGGAAGCAGAGATGCTTGGATGAAAGTGAGGGAGGAGATGGAAACAGAGGATTGAAGAAATGTTTCCGTAGCCACTTCTTTCTCTGTGTCGCTAAGCAGCGCAGAACCGTTTTCTCCACACGAGAAGCCCCGACATGCTCGTACTGATAATTTTCCACTCCGCATCTGTAATTTAGAACAGGGCATCTAGGCTGTGATGATAAATGGTTACATGCTAGGTGATGAAAACTTGTTATACGAGTGCTACATCAGCACATTAGCTTTCATGAGGGCAGAAATACCTGTGATTCAAGTCCCAGCTGTTAAAGTTCAATAAAAATTGCGTTTTCAGTGCAGACACAAGAGACCTCTGGAAGCCATTATGTGGTGAGGAAGAAGATGTGCCGGGAAGTAGTTTAAAATTAAAAAGAGATCACTGATTTACCCCCTAGCCTGCACATCTGCCGCGCAGTTCAAAAGCATCCACAGAGGTTCTGTTCACCCTGAATCAACCTCCCCCTGCTCTTGTTTATTTATATCGCTGTTTGTCCTAGACCACCTCGCCTTTTGGTCCTAATAGACATGAAGTAATGCTTCCGGTGACACTGAGGTGCCCTGCTGTTTTTGACTTTAATGCAGACGGGGTCTCCTCTCTGCATCGACACAATAAATGTAAATCAAGCCAACCTCAGAGAATCCACAATGAATATTTCCCCTCACAAGTTCTCTCAGCTGTGGTTATTTCACTGAATCTGGGAACTGTGGCTTCCCCTCCCCTAATTCCACCACATTTTATTGTGCATGCCTCTAACCATGTGCAAAAGCAGTGGGGATTCCCTTACATCTTCCTTATCCCTGTTTTCCTTCATCGCGCTCTGCTCGGTTGGAACGAGCAGTCACTGCATTCATTCAAGCAGATTTTTAGTTGCCCGTGATGTTGCGGTTTGAGTTTAGTGCCAATAGCTTGCTGTGATCAGAAGTTCACTCACAACCTCAGTCTTGGTTAGTTAAGAGCTGGCAATTTGGATGTTGTGGATTTAATAAGTTTAGAACAGCCGTCGCCTGCTCTGAAATTTTGTGGGTGAGAGAATAGAACATATTTATTATTCACAAGAGTTCAACATTCAAATTGGACCTATATTGCAGTTGTTACGGTCACTACTAGTTACCCAGGCCACCCTGAGGGTTAATTGGCTGTGCTAGTCTCTTCATGAGCCAGATTAGATGTATTATTTATATAACCTGTATGGTTGGGTGGTGAGTGTGTACCCAGTAGGTGTGTGGGTGTGTCTCCTGGGAGCTGGATCAGCCTTCTGTGCAGAGGTCTGCCTTTGTGTACAATTGGAGCTGAGCTCAAGTGCAGACAGCCCCGCAGTGTCTCCTGCAGTCATGCCCTACCATGTTGGCTGGTACTTGCTCCTGGGATGCCTATTGCTGGATTTATTGGGGTTGCATGTACAAGGTCAAAGACGACGGGATGGAAAGGTACTCCCTACTACGGCTCATACGTGTACTGATTTTAACCTTTTCTTTGGAGTTTTCTGTTCTGATGCAAAGACTCTGGACAGGAGTGAAGTGCACTCAGTGTGGAGGTGCTTTTAATTTGGCTGAGGATGCTTTTGGTTCTAATTAATTCAAGGTTGCAACTCATGTGACTTTCAACTTATAAATACCCTAAAGATGCTCATAAAAGCAAGCTTCTAAAACCTTAACTCTTTAATTATTTGTCTTATGCTTAAACACGCTTGAATTTTTTTTAGTAACACTAAACAGTATAGTGAGATTCTCATTTCTCACATTTATCCAGGCTTGTGAACAGCACGTGGAATACACTTTCCGGTGACCCTTCAGCCTCTTCTCCTGGTCTCGAATCAGGGATCTTTCATATGTAACGGAAACAATTTGCATTACTGATGAGAACATTTAGTAGAAAAGATAGACCCCTTGGTCACTTTCTTGGATTCAGAACATTGCATTAGACAGATGTACCCCTGCATGGTTTATGGTTTGCCTGGCTAACTCTTCTGTGGAGGGTTCAAACTACTTAAAAACAAAGGAAAATTTGAACATCAAAGCACCATTTTTTGTGAAAACTATGATTCATGGGAACATTAGTGACAGTCATTGCCCATTTAAAAATGTTCTGTTGGTTATTTTATTATCTGTTTTTATATTGTTGTGGATGTGAGAGTTATTCACAAGGGCTAGTGTCTGTGTTGGCCTCCATGAGAGAGCATTTCTGGTCAGCTGGCAAATCCAGCTACCAGTACTTAGTAGGCTGGAGAGCAGTTTTATTGTGCAAGAAAAGTTTAGGTATTTCTCCTCTTCTCCATAATTCTTTATGATCTTATTGTACATTCCCAGACCACCACTGTTGAACTGGTGGATGCTTTGATCACAACTAAATGTACCATTTCTAACATGGGTGGTCCCGCTGGTTCTAAAATCCCTGAACGTGACACCGTTAATGCCACGCACTTGACCTGCTGAGCTGCAGTGAAGTCACACTCTGACTTGTGTGCACATGACACACACACACACACACACACACACACACACACTGTAGTGCCTGCCTCGCCTTATGTCTTGTCTGCATACCTGTGTCTTAGCGAGATTTATGGACCTTGCCATTTGATTAGCCTTTGTAGGAGCAAGTCTTCATTGTCTGTGTGTGCGTGCACATGTGTGTTGATAATAGCACTCTAGCCTGCAGCATCTTTGTCAGGCTGTGAGGCCCCCATAGATTTCTTATTACTGTCAGCTCCTTATGCCTCCTGAGACTTGAGCTTTGTGTAGATAGCCATTAATTATGGCCTGTGAACACCTGCCATAACTTTTATTTACTGTGTGTAAGAGTGACACATAAGTTAAATTGAGATTTTTTATTTTTTTTTTAATTAGTGGATGAAAAATTCTCCTGCTTTGTTTTAATGGAACTGATGTCATTCTGGAAGTCATTCCAACAGCATTACCATGCAATGGTATTTTAACTAAGATGATAGTAAGACAATATGATGGATTAGGTTGGATTCAAGTCCCTGCAAGTCTGGCCAGTAGTTGCCTTGAAGGTTGGAAAAGCAAATGGAGAAGCATAGTTATGCCCTTAATACCTGGATCTATTAGTCAAGTGTTTGTATGAATGCAAATGATGTTGCCTTTAAGACATTTGGCACATTTCCTGTCAGTTAATTGGCTCATCTTTTTAAAACCAATACTGGCTGAATCCATCATGCTTTTTGCATGGTACTGTCTGTTTGCAGTCTTAATAAAACCTCATATATGTGACAAAAGCTTTGTTCTCTTCAGACCAAGTCTTTTGAAATTTCTTGACATCATTATATGCAAAATTTCCAAACTTAACTTTGCCATGATTCCTCCCTGCAGCAAAGTGTTGCTAGATGATGTTTCATTGTAACTAATAAGTCAGTCCATGTACCTTTACTTACAATTTTCATTGTGTTTGCAGTGCAAATGTGTGAGTCCAGTCTAAACAGGCATACTTAGATTAAAGAAGATAAACTAGTTTTCTAAAATTTTCATCTTTATTCAAAATATTTGCTATTATTAGCCCCAAAACAACAAATTCTATGGATTATAATAATAAAACAAAATCATGGATTTCCCCAGTCACTTAAAGTCAGCCAAGACTCAGGCTGTGCCGTTGCTGCACCGTTCCTCCAACTTGAGAAGTCTTGTTAGGATTAAAAAGCAAACACACACACACGCATAAACACACACACTTTGAACATGCTTGCTTGCTCGAGCCTGCTACTACAGAACCTTTAGAGAGATATCGAGTGTAAACATCATCTTGGCTCATGATTTAAAGGCTCATAGAGTTACTTGCTGGGATTATTAGAGTTTTGTTTGACAGGATAACTACACAGACACATGCTATGCAACGTCTGCTCTGTAGATCATCTTTAAAACTGCTGTTTTAAAGATGACTCATGGAGGCCTTGGTGTGACCTTAGACTGAGAAGAGTTTAAACTTGAATTTCAGTTGTTTTTCACATTTAACACATTTAACATTATCCTGATGATACTCTAGGACCGTTACAGAGTGTAGAGAAGACCTGTTGATAAACACAATCCATTAGCTTCATGCTCTGTGTCTAACATTCACACAGGTCCAATACTGATGTGTAAAAAAAACATGGTATAATGTGGTGAGCACCACTGTTAAACCATAAACAGTGTGACTGCAACATACTTCATGATATATTGTGTTATTGTCAAAACATTCCTTAGAATTAGACAAACCGACAGTGTTTCAATACATTATCACTTTGACTTCGTTATCCTCTTTGTAGCACTCATCTCCAAGTTCAAAGGTTTCCTCTGAATACATAAATCCTTAATACACTGGCTGCAAAAATATGATTTCAGTTTAAGAAAAACAGCTGTGCACTTTGGTTCTTAGCAAATGCTGCTCAAATAGGACTGAGTAGTACCTCTTGAGGATTCTTCGGACGAATAGATATAGTCACAAGGAATTCTGGTTTCAGTTTATTGAGGGCATTCATTTATGCACAGCCCTCTTAAGGTCCCACCACAGGATGAGGTTTGGACTTTGCTGGGCCTATTCTGTTTTAGATTTTCGGGTGTGTTTGGGATCATTGTCCTGTCGCATGACTCAGTTTGGACCAAGCTGTAGTTATGAGACAGACCTCACATTTGACCCTATAATACTTTGGTATAGAAAGAAGTTTCCGATTGACTCGGTGACCCAAAGAATGGGACAAGCTGTCCCATTCTTTGGTTGCAGAGCATTCCCAATCATCACTCCTCCACCACCGTGCTTGACATTTGGTATGGGTGGTTTGTTTTTGCCAAAAATGGTAAGACATCCTGTTTTGTCTCATCATTGTAAAAGGCATTTTTCCAGAAGTCTTGGGATTTATTGAGATGCAACTTTGCAAACCTAAGCTTGGCTCCACTTTCTTGTTAGAAAGATGAAGCTTTGTGTTTGCAACCCTTCCAAAAAAGCCCTACTTGTTTAGTCTTTTTCAAAAGGTACTTTCATTAACAATTAACATGCTAACTGAGGCTTGTAGAGTTTTTGTGAGATTTTTTTTGCAGTTTCTCCAAGCATTGCACAGCCTGAGTTTGGGGTGAATTTGCTGAGACTGCTGCCCCTGAGAAGACTGTGGCAATGTCTTAAGAAACACCTGAATGCTCCAGATCAGGAGCAAAAGTGCCAAAACATCTACTTCCACAGAGGCGGTCTCATCGGCTGATAATCAGCTAGTCAAGTGTCCTTGAAAACTTTCTTTTAGACAGGATTGCATGTTCATATTTGCTACTCTGGATATTATCTCCAGCAGAAATATTTTGTTTGATTCATAGACCATATCTAAGAGATTGATGTAGCCACCATGACGTCACCTGTTTGTCAGTTCTGAAGCCCTGAGCTTCAGCATCTTGGCCGTGTGTGTCCTTTTTTAAGACCAGATATGACTGTACTTGTCAGTGCTGTAAAGCATGCCCTGTTTTATTTTCTATTTTACTCTAAAGGGGAAAATCATTTACAAAATGAATGTCATTTTATATAAAATTAGATTGGAAACTTGCAACTGAGTTAATAAAAACATCAGGAAAGTGTTTACTGAAGTAATAAATTAAGCAATACGTCTTTGTACTGTACATGTGGACTTTTTTCCAGCTAAAAGTTGCTCCTTGGTAGCCATTAGATTTATTTTATAATATTTTATTTTAAGACATCAGGTGGCTTTATTTTTTAAACCTGGAGGATATACCCATGCTTCATATACACAGTTCATGATGTGTGTTCAGTTTAGAGAAATAGGATGTTTTGGAATTTATTTTTCTTTTTTGCACAATGACAGTATATTTTTATTTATTCATCCATCCATTCACACTCAGATTCACACCTAGTGACAATTTGGATTATCCAATTAACCTATCCCCACAAGTTGCATGTCTTTGGACGGTGGGAGGAAGCCGGAGTACCCGGAGGGAACCCACGCAGACACGGGGAGAACATACAAACTCCACACAGAAAGATCCCGGCCTGATGGTGGAATTGAACTCAGGACCTTCTTGCTGTGCGGCAACAGTGCTAACCACCGTGCCACCGTGCTGCCTGTAGCAGTAGATTTTTATTTTTGAGTTTATTTTGTGTACATGTGTAACAGATTGGAATATATAAAATACAGCATATAACATTCAATATATCCTAAAGGCTTGTAGTCACTGACAACTATCAGCACCTGGCTGACTGGCAGATGTATAATGGTATTCCAACTAAGTATGACCTGCGCTGGCTCATAAGGAAGTCTCTCTGACTGAAAGGGAGGTAAGTGGAGGAGACGATGTTGACCAGAGGAGATCCAGTGTCACGTTATCAGCTGGGCCTGTTTGACTGAATGTGGCCGGGTATAAGAGAAAAAGAGAAAGAGCTTTTGTTTCCATTCAGGGCACTGGCTTTGGCTCTTGCCTATCTCGGGCCTTTGCTGGCCTGGCTGACTGGCCCCATTGCACAAGGCTAATTGTTGGCCTGTTGTTTCAGATGAATGAAAGCCATGTTTAACTTATTTGACATGTTTCTGGATGTTTGGGCATGTCATTGAGCATGCTGAATTGATTTTTGCCTTGATAAACAACTATAACCAACAAGAAAACAGAGCCTATCTATATACTCATATCTGCAATCTTTCCAGTGCATTTGTATTCCTAATATTTGTTGCTCTCATTTTTCTATAGCTCTGTTTACGTCCCATGGAAACTTTTATTTAGTTCTCAGATATCGTGGAAGGGTTATGAACTGTTGCCTTCGCTGCTCACTGTGCCTTTTCTGCTGAAAAAAGGCACAGGTTAATGGTCCAAACACAAAACCTAGTTTCACTTATGTGCCAAAAGATACTGGAATTGTTACTAAAAAAATTACAATGTGACTTCACTGGTTAAAATGTTTATTTAGCATGATTTGTGACATTGTGCGTATACCAGGATCAAGACGTCTGCGTATCTCCAGATGACCAGTTCCTATAAACGATTCGGTTACATAGACCTGGCGTAGAAAGCCGTCTATTCTGAGAGATTATTGAATTGTATCTTGTGTTAGACCTTTGCACAATGTGTAAACCCCCGCCTCCTATTGCTCTTCCTGTCCTTCTGCTTCCCATATGCCTCTTAGCTCCGCTTTTGTGCTCTCCATTTCAGCCCATTACGGTCATCAAACAAAATTTATAGCCCTGTGGTCCCTTTCCCCTGAAAGGCCTCTCTCACTATTCTCCATTCCCTAGGGCCCAGCATTTTGCTCTGTTTTGTTGTGTGTGTGCGTGCGTGCCTATGTATAAGTTCACATTTTGACAGCTGGCAAAGCTGATTTACAGTACGAACGATTACAGAATAAAGAGCAGTCGATTAAAGCTCTAAACTGTATAAACTGTTGTGGGGAGGTGTAAAACAGAGTTTGACACAGAGGGAGCCTATGGTGCTCCAGTCTAGAGTCTGTACTGAAGTAAAATTTCTTACAGTACAGTCTGCAAAGACAGCTGCTGTAAATATAAAGGCACTACTCAGTCTTGTCAAGATTGATGTTAAACCTAAGACGAAGATCCAACTAGAGATAGACGTGCTTTAACCTGAGTATCAGCTGGAGGATAGCAGAAGTCACAGTAGGTAAAGCCGTGGAATTTGAGCAGAAATGTTCCTTTTTATAGTTTAGGTGAGGAGATCTTTATTGTCATTATTTACAACAGCAATGGTATCCCAACCATGCTGTAAGAAATGTGATGGCTGACCTACAGTAACGGTCAAAGAGCAGAGACTGGGGCACTTTGGAAAGGTTAAGTGCCGAAAAGAAAAGTTCTTAATAGTTTTGGGTTCAATTAGGATCTGAGTGTAACCCGCTGAAATGTTAATTAGAGACAGCATAGTTAACTATTTTGAAAATAAATGCCATTATCAGTTGTGGTGGTGTGCATTTTTATTTGCCAGATGGGTTAAAAGTAACTAACTAACTTGAAGGCAGATAAAATGAAATAATGCCAGATGTCAGTAAAGTGTTTTTTTTCTGTGGGTAGAGGCCTGTAGTAGGGGGAAATGTGGGTTTTTGTCATTTAGATTTAAAACCATCCCAACACCAATATTTCTTTATTACATAATAAATTTTTGTTCATTTAAAAAGTGTGTTGTTGTTTTTTTCAGACAGCTTTCAGAAAGAGCTTTTGATTTGACAATGATTATATGGTGTGTTTTGCTTTTGTCCACTTGTCATGACATTGGTTTCTCTCATCAACAGGGTCTCTACTGTCAGTGTGCTATTGTTCTCGTTTCTATTGACTGATGGTAATGGTAGTAAGGACATTTCAAACTGCACCAGGCTGATTTTTATCGTAGTATTTTTAAAGCTCATCAGACAGTCCACCACAATAATGCAGAACCAAACAATGAAAGATTCATACAAGTGCTGACATCAAACAGTGCTACAAACCAAAAAAAACCTGCTTTGATGTCTAAAAGATGGAATGTGAGCCCCAATTCTTGTTTTCTTTCTTGACAGAATGCGTTCCTGCGTCGAGAAAGTTCACGAGGCGATGGGACGGTCCCTTCTAGACCCAATCGGAAAGGTTCAGTAGGTCGTGGGGGTGTCCTTTTGGTGGATGAGGACACTGACTTGTTGGATACGATCTTCCAAAATGGCAGACAAGTGAACCCACGGTTAAAACCTTCCAGAAATGGACCTAAGGGAAGCCAGAAAGGGAAACCTGAACTATCATCTAAAAACATGGATGAAAATATTACCACAGAGAAGAAGAAAGATTCTAATGGGAGGACTTCATCACTGTTTCCTGGAAAGCCTTCAGATGATATAATAGACCTGGATATTGGAGGTTCTCCTAAGAAGCCCTCGCTCGGTTTTCCTGCACCTCCTAAGATTCCTTCAGATCCCAGATCCGCCACAGATTCTAGCAAAGAGACCACGACTATTTCACCTCGCAGCACGCAGAGTTCCATACAGTTTGATCGTAGACGTGAGCACAAAGGCAGACTACCAGAAAAAGGCCGCCCTGCAACTGTAGCCATTGTGTCTAGAGATGGAAACCTGGTTTTGGGCTCAGATGGCAAAATGTACCGGCTTCAGAGAGGCCCACCTGGCCGAATGGGTCCGCCTGGGCTGGAAGTAAGTGGCCTTTTGGTCTTCTCATTGCTCTTTAAAACCCGTTTTAATTCTATTGTATGATCTGTTGTAGTTTGCTCTCTCTCATGTCCATATCTCAGTGAGAATTTTTGGCAGAGTTTATTCAACTTGTTCATTTTGCTTATCAAAGCAAAGGCCTTCCTGTTTGTTTAAAAGTAAATTGGATGTATAATATCGGTCCATTGTTGGATGAGATGAAAAAAAAATCTTTGTGAATGAAAAGAGTATAACGACTGTTTGCTTTTACAGCTTACAAGCGCTGTTCTCCATCAGCTGCCATATGAATCTGATTAGGGGTGGTTACACTCTTCAAACATGCGCTGATCCACATGTCTTTGTTGCTGTGATGGGAGCGCTCGCGCTTAGGGAGTCTCAGCCGTTTGTCATAGCATTACCCAATATGACAGGATTACCCTTTGGCTTCCAAGTTATCTGATTGGTCGGGAGGAGTAAAGTCAGGTCATACTGTCTAGTTGGAACACTTACCTGGTTTAAGAAGTGGGTCTTAACTGTGACTGCAGGGTAGACAGAACCAAAAGCAGACATCACATCTGGTTACGTCTGGAGTCACGCTGCCATAAAATCCACAGAATAACTCAGCACGATTAATGTGATTAGACCCAGCCGAACATGAGGGAAAATGTCCTGTTGGCTTTTCTGTCCACATACGCGGCACAACAGGTTCTTCTTGATCATCTTGAATCCTATCTCAAAGTAGAAAAAAGCATGTTTCAGGAAAGTACCTGGCTGCAAAAATGAATTGATAAAGGTATTTACATGATTTATCAAAATGACTCAAAAGGCTGTCAAATCCAAAATCTAATCAACACCTATGTAAACCTCTGATGATAATTTTTCTTGACTCACATCAATTGCCTGATAACCACATACGGTAGCTCTCACTAATGTCAATCTAAAGATGAGTTAACTTATTATATTCAAACTTTTCAAAAGTGATTACACCGTCTTCCTTCCATCAATTTGCATTGCAAGCTTTATGTTGTCAAAAATTCTGGACTCACATTTGAGGATTTGTAGGGATTTCAGTGTTGTAAAACTAATGCCCAAAATCTATGTGGTTGTTGATAATCCTGGACCCTAGGCAGTTTGTATAGTGAGTTTCATCCAGATTAATTAATGTGTCAAGGAGGCGTTAGGTAACAGAGCTACACAGCGAGCATTATAGTAAGATTCAGGACAGACTTAAACAAACTTTCTGTAAATTAGTGTTCAGACTTGGTCAGAATCCATAACATAGGCAGAGTAATCCTGAAAGATTCATCAAGATTTACCAAATTTTTGAATTTTTCCAGATCCTACAGGAAGCACCAAAGAAGCCACACACAGTTCCTATCAATTTACAACAGCGTTACTGAACAGTATAACCTGATACGCCTATCTTAAAGTGTTTTATTGTTGTAGGTGTAGGGAGGGAGCTCTTGTAAAAAAAAAAACCTTTTGGTCCTCAATGTGCCACAAGCTGTGAGGTTTTACAAGGATCGAGTATTATCAGGTCAACTTTTTTGCTTCTACAAAGTAGTAGAAAAGTCTTAAATGTCAGGGATAAACTGTCACGTATCTGTGGCTTGTTAAAGTTGGTGATAAATACTGTTTTGTGTCGTGACAGCTGATTTATCCTCATTGCTTTTGTCTTTTTCATTTATTGAGAGTTAATGTTTCCACAGGGTTGTCCTGGTGAGCCGGGCCTCCCTGGGTTTAAAGGTGATAAGGTAACCGAAGCTTGTTTATAACCTAGTAAGTCATGATGATATGTTAGGTTAAAGCTGCTTCTGAAATAATATCTCAGATGGTATCTAATATTTAAACCTCAGTTTCAATCCAAGACATGTTTTACTTAATCGTCCACAGTGGACTTCTGCTAACTCCCATTAAGGTTATTTATGCCAAAGTTCAGTACTCTTTTAAATAAAACAAGAACTAATATATTATTTACCACATAAATTGATTTATCTTTCACAAACAGGGTAAGACAGGCCCTGAAGGAAGACAAGGAAAAAAGGGGGAGAGGGGACCTCCTGGACCGCCAGGTTTACCAACCCTCTACCTGTGGAGGAACACTGCTGAGGAATGGGCTGCATTCCAGGTAAAATGTTCTGCTATATAATACTTAAGCTTAGCCTGCTCCACCGATATTGCAAAGTGCAGGGCCAGTGGCAGGGTACATCCTGAGCAGATTACCAGGACACCACAGGGCTAACACAGACATCTACAGACTCTTAGATTCACACTTATAGCAAGTTTAGAATCATAGGTTACTCTGACATGCATGCATTCAGACCATGGGTGCAAACCAGAGTACCTACTGGAAGAAAGTGCAAACTCCACACAGAAAGACCCCCAAGAGGAAACCTGTTGTTGGTTTATCAACTGCTTTCTTGGCCTTCCATTAAACATCAAGGCACCGAGTACAGAACACCTCAAAGAAGTTGTTTTTATATGTTCCTCTCTCCTTTGCCCTCATATAATTTATTGTGAGTCACCTAAAGGACACATAGGACTTGAAATGATCTTCGATGTTACTTAAACCCAGATTTCCAGACTATATGTGAAATCTTTAACCCTTCGGTTATCATGCATGCAAGTTGATGATCTGTCCTCATCTGTTTAATCTGTTTCCATTGGACGCAGCTGTGTGTTGTATAAGGCACGTACTTATACACACACGCATATAGTATGCCAGCATGATGGGGAGCTTCAAGTCAGTTATTGAAAAAAGATGACAGAAATAAAAGTCTGTTAGTGGTTTGTGAAGGCGATTTGTTACTGTGTGTGCTTTGAACTACTATATGTGGACAACCTGCTGTGGTCACTATTTGTTACTTAATGCGTGTTTCCATTTTTCTTGCAGCAAACCAGTTTCTACCAGTTGCTTGCTGCAGGTTGGCCTGTAAGTACGCTCTTCTAAAAGCTGTTCTGTGTTTCGTTTGTTTCTGTGAATCTGAGGCGGGTTTCTTCTCTGTGAGCTTGCAGAGTAGAGAAGGCCCCGCAGGACCACCTGGAGAAATGGGCAGGCCTGGCAGACGGGTTAGAGATGAGTTCTTTTTAGCAGTATATTAGTGCATGTTACAAACATGTTCCCATGTGATTTAGTGATTTTCTTTCACAGGGGCCACCTGGTGAACCTGGGGAGCGAGGAAGACCAGGGATGCCAGGAGAGATGGTAAGCAAACAACCCAGCATTTCCTGCTCCAGAAATTTCAGCAAGTTTGGTATCAATAAAAAAATGTGCTGTAAGGCTACAAATTTGATTTAGTATGCCAAAGTCAACGTGTAGAAAATAACTTGAGATAGATGGATGGCTGGAATTCCAGCAGTAAATGTAATACCAAATGCAATGAGCTGACACATATTAATACATGAAGCCTGTCCTGAAACATCCTCTTTACATGTTTAATCTTAATATTTGGTTTTAGTCATGAAAGTGATGAATATCTCTAATTTGTGTCCACTTTTCCATCATTAAATCACAAAAGTTACACACCCATTTTTAGTAAAAGCTGACACATTTGGTGTCGCTGTAAACATTGGGTGGTTCATCGAAGCGAACCAGCCAATGTTGGGGATTGAGCAAGTCCACTGTGGACGATTAAGTGCTAATTTGAATTAAGCGTCACATAGCTGGTTGAGCAGAGTGAGTGCGGTTAAAGGGAGTGGGTGTTTGGAAACCCCGTGTGCATGAAACTCCCTATGATGTAACCATTCTCATATTTAGAGAAAAAACTTTTTTTAACTGCAAAATTAAGACATTGCATATTTTCTGTGAGTAAATTTGATTACGCTGAACCATAGTTAATCAAGTTTTCTATTGTGTTATGTCATAAGTTTCACATTATCTCAGTGGGACCTCGTTATTTGTCGCTTATTGCCTGGTTTTATTAAATCTAAAAAACTCTGACTTGATTTGTTTGTGTGAATGGCTTTTTAAGGTAGAGGCAAATCTTACATCCATCTCAAAAACCGTCTCAAAATACATAAACATGAGTCCTGGAAGTGGGCTCTGACTGTATGGAAACTGAAAGCCAGGGCCATCTATTGTGTGAGGTCTCAGCTGGGTGATGAGAAACAGTGTGGTTTGGGATTGTTGGAAACACTCAGTCACCTTCGCTGGCTGAAATGTTTGGACCCATGTGGCAGAGAATATTGATCTACTGTTTGTGTTTGTTTGTGTCTGAGTGACTGTGTAGCCTACGCTGACAAAGCACCTTGCTGTTTGTGCAAAAATAATCATACATCAGCACTGTAAGCAATGCTGGGGTGTGTCAGCATCAATCATGGAAAATTCAAATGTGTTATTGACATATAAAAAATCACAAATAAAGGCTCTTTGTAAAATCCTATTAGAGCAAAAGAACACAGAGTAACTGATGAAATGTAAATGGATTAAAAGTCCCTGTTTTGCATAATAATCTTTTTCAAATAGTATTATTACTATATTAGTTCAGGTACTATTAACATAGTACCTAAACAATACTATATTAGTACTGTTCAAGAGGCTGGTCATGGTGTAATGATGTGGGGGATCCTTTGTTGACACATTTTGGGTCCATTTATTCTGAGTGAACATTTTTTTGTATACCACAGCCTGCCTGAGTACAAGTTCTGATTATGTCCATCTCTTTATGACCACAGTATCTTCTGATGGCTGCGTCTAGCAGGATAATGCTGAATGTCACAAAGCTCAAATCATCTCAAAGTGATTTCTTTCTTAGATGGTAGATGGCCTGCATTTGTAAAGCGCTTTGCTAGTCCCCAAGGACCCCAAAGCGCTTTACACATCCAGTCATTCACCCATTCACACACTGGTCTGATAGTGAACATGATAGTGAGTTCACTGCACTTAAATGGCCTCCACTGTCACAAGCCTCAATCCAGCAGCGCACCTTTGTGCAACTGTGTGATGCTATCAAGCTAATATGGACCAGAATCTCTCAGGAATGTTTCAAAATGATTTCTCATAAGTAAGGCAGCTCTGAAGGCATAAGAACGTAAAACCTGGCATTAACAAGGTGTACCTGGTGTAATAAAGGTCGAACTTATATAAAAGACTGTGTCTCTAAAATCACTGGCTATGAGGTGACTCAAGATAGAATCGCCTCCCAGTGTTTTAAACCTAAACAAAAGGAAAGCTGTACTAAACTAAACAGGGAGTCGGTAATGCTCATGAAGTCAAGTTTTCAAGTCAAAAGTTGGACATGGGATTTAAAGTTATCTGGTTCAGGCGTCCCAGTATAGCTCACTGGTTGAGCATGTGGCCTCATGCATTTCTCCTCCCACTCTCTCTCCCCTCCTGAATGTTGGCTTTTTTTTTTTTCAATCCAGTGAATGTGTAACAAAAATTAACTGTAATACAAAATAAAAATAATCACATGCCTAAGTGTCTTGCATAAACCAGCAATATAAAATACCTCTCTCTTCATGAGAGAGCAGCATGTCCATCAGTCTAACCCTGTAAAGCTGAATAAAAATGTAGGTTTTGTCTTTGGAGCCATTCACACATTGTATGTTTTTGTAAGTATGACCATGTTGAATCTGTAGGCTGAGATTCTGGATGTTTATCCATTATTACGCTGACTTGACTAGTGTGGCACACTATTGCAGTGGTTAGCATTGCCTCACAGCCAAAGTTTGCTGTGCAGAGTTTGCATGTTTGGCTGTGTGGGTGTCCTGCTGTTACTCAGGTTTCCACCCACAATCAAAACATGTATGTTAAGTTAATTGGCGATTCCAAAGTAGCCATAGATGCAGATGTGAGAGAGTGTGGTTGTGTGTTGTGTGTCCTCTGTGTTAGCTCTGTGATGAACTGGCAACCTGTCAAAGTTGCCTTTTGCTGTATTTCAGCTGACATATAGACTCAGCACGACTCCTTAGCTTAACCACCCCATGTGATTGTTGTACATTAATTGGTTAATTACTTTTTTGAGTAAGAGGGGGGAAAACACAGATAACTGAGATCCCTGGATAAGGTTAAATGATTACTTTTTCTTAAGATGATTCATAACCAGCATATACAGGAATGCAGTTTCCTGGTTTATATTTGAGTGGAAACTCCAAAAGAAAGGCCTCCGTTCGCAAACCCGTCTGGTGGGCTGGATTGAACGTATTTGTTTCTTTTTGACGATACCAGCTTAGGTCATTTGTAAATTTGTGGCTTTTTGTTGTAAACTGAATATATTTGAGGTTTTGGACCGTTAAACAGACAGCGAACAGCACACAGACAGCAGTTGTAAACATCAGCCTGGGCTCTGGGAAATGTAGTTGTGGTCATTTTACAGTATTTTATGATCTTTTGTAGAATAAATCAGTTAATTAAGGTTACTTAACAGCTCTTTGACCCTCTGCAGGCAAAGTTTATATAGTGCATTTGTAAGTAGCACAGAAACTTTCAGTGAACTAAGACCTTCTTGCTCATAACAGCTAAATTGGCTCTGGTGGAAACGCATAATAGCAGGTCACAGTATAAAACAATAATTAATTCAACTCTCGTAAAACCCAGTTGTCATTTAAATCATTACAAAACCTACCTGGTAAAAGAATTCTTCATCCCAGATGCAGTGTTATTCAGTGCCAGCACAGGTGGTTTAGCCATTCACTGTGAATCGTTTCCCACCTGAGTTCTTGCACAGCACAATCTTCTAGACAGTGTGTTGCCATATAGGCGATACCTTGTCTTTGTGATGAATTGCTGCTCTTAGTTGGAGAGCCAGTGTCTTCACAGTCCACACTGATAATTTATAATATCTTTCACACTGTGAATCTCTGCGCTCCATGGATTTTACTCGCTGCAGTTCCAGTTTATTTGATTACGTATTTGTATCTTTTACATTGTCAGGTTTGATAGTTGTCTTGAAGTAACAAGACAACCATATCAGAAGTAAAATATCAAAACTGTCCACCAGCAAGCTGCTGTATGAGCATTAAGTGTCTGATTTATGCTGTCTGACAGGGGGATCGTGGTCCTCGTGGCCCTCCAGGACGATCTGGGACTGCAGGGCGAGATGGGGACAATGGGGAAGATGGTCAGCCGGGGTCACCTGGTGTTCCTGGATCACAGGTGGGCATATTCTATTTATGTTAACTGTTAAACAACACACAGAGTATGGGTGAGTGTGACACAGATGGTAAACTAGTGTATGTTGAGTGTTTTCTGTTGAAACCTTCAGGGCCCGTGGGGATACAGGGGGGAGCGAGGACCTAAAGGGGAAAAAGGTGATGAGGTGAGTAATAAAACAGCACAGACATTTTTGATGGAGCACAATCTGTGTGTTGTTTAAACATTTGATTTACTGCTGTGAAATGATGTGTATGTATTGGCAGGAACATGTTTAGACTCTGTGCAGTCTTACTGTCACCTTTTAGCTTTAGTTAAGATTTGCTGTCGCTGTAGTTCAGATAATTGAAGCTTATTATGTTTCCGTGTCAGTGGCAGTGATGGCTTCTTTTTTAGAAATGTTTTCACAGGTCAGTGTTTTTAAGTGTTAACAGAAGAAGCTAAAATTCTCAATTCTTATACTTTTAATCCACATTTAATGAGGTTTTTAAAGCACCTTTTGCTCAAAGGGGAAAACATTTATTTTGAAACATGTCAACTATGTGAAATTAATTGATGTTCATGCATATAGAAAAAATATTGAAATGATGGATGTGTTCTTTGCTAATGTCTCCAGGGTCTTACTGGCCCCAGAGGTCCAAGAGGTGAAATTGGTGAACCTGGCAAGAAGGTACTCTTTGATTAATTGTATTTATTTTTTGATTAATCTTAAATATATAATTAGAATTACTTTTTTTAAAGATTGCACACTGGGTTTATGGATTGCTCTGGATCAACAGTGCTGTCAATAGTGGTCAGAGGAGGGGTAGACAATAATCCAGTGGCAGGATGTTGGGTTTTCCTGTGCTAGATACCACCTAGAGGTCTTGCAGAGTCCATGTTTTTTGTTTAGTTGAAGCCATTTTGTTTGGACCAAGTATATTAGACAGTGGTCATAATGCTTTGTGGGTTATGTGGATATAAAGATATCTGTTTTCAAATTTCTCTCCTTGTGTAGGGTGGAACTGGTTTACCTGGTCCACAAGGCCCTGTTGGACCCCGCGTGAGTGTCTTTTATGGTTTGCTTTATATGTGCAAAAAACTAGAAATTTCAGTTGTTGTTTTTTTTTACATGATATTTATAACTCCTTTAAAGAAAAAAGGGTGGATCATGAGCCAGGAGCAGTTTTCCCTTTATCCCTTTTACAAAGCAGCTCATACTCTGTAGTCAACTGGACAAGATGCCAGCGCATACATTCAAAATTAAAAATGTAAAAGTATGACAGTTCTTATCCAATAGATTTCTTATTACACCCAACTAGTGAAAAATAAAATGATCAAAAAACTTTGTTAAAATTGGACATGCGCTCTGTAATCTTAATCTCTAATTCAGGCCCCCTTTGAACTTTCAGTTTCAAACAATGAGGCATTCACTTTACTCGCTTTACTCGTTGGTCTATCAGTGATTTTACTTTGATTCTGCCTGGCGAGAAAATGGAGTCTCTGACTAAGCTTTAGTATCATTAATCCTCTCTTTGTATACACTCTTCCCCATGTACTTTAATGGTATACTGCTATTAAGCTGACATCTTTAATCTTTTCTGCAGGGGCCTCAGGGAATCCGAGGTGGCGCTGGGCCAGAGGGACCCCCTGGGCCTGATGTGAGTGAGCCGCTGTCTGACTCTAGTTCTTAGAGCCTTAAAAGCAAATAGTCCTGTTTTTAGTTTGTGCATTGCACTGTCATAAATGAAGATACCAATACCTGCATAATTTTTTTTGTCTTTTTTTTGGGTTATCCTATTTTTGCGACTTATTGCTGCTATTTATTGTGGTGATCTGTTCATTGAAAGGATTAAACTACAAGTGCACAGTAGTTATGCCAAGCAAAACAGATGGAATTTGTACTAAAACAGATTTTCTTTTGTTTATGTTTTTCTATAATTAAAGGTTTCATATTACTTAAAGCCAAATTAGGGGCAAGTGTTGATGCCTGTTTTTTTCTCTATTCTTAAATGTATTAAAAGGTTTTATTCTTTGTCTGTTATTCATGCTGTTTTGTGCTTATTACCAGGGGGAGAGTGGACTGGATGGCCTCCCAGGTCTGCCAGGGCCACCGGTAAGCAGGCGGATATTCAGTGATTAATTATTAGTCTGTCTGTGCAAATTCCAGATGTACCTGCAATCATGTATGTGTGTGTCTCTGTGTGTCACAGGGTGCACCAGGTGCCACAGGACGAGTTGGCGCACAAGGAGTTAATGGCTCAAGGGTACAGCCACACCTCAAGTCTTTATTTTGGCTCAGTTGGCCTGCAACTTAAAGATGATTTCCTCATGAGGCTGAAACTAATAACCACTTTGAAAAATATATATTTCTCTCTGTCTGCATGAATTTAGAAACATATACAATACTCAATTTGTAATGAAATTACAAAAAACATTCTCTAAACTGGATTTTTTAAGGATTTAATCACTTCTCAAATTTACAGTACAAGCAATTTTCAATAAATGTTTTATTTAAAAGAAGTTAAGTTAATATTTTGCAAAGATAACAAAGTTAGGTATCATTTGTGTCACACTGGGGAAAACAGTGGTTGGAGAATGCAGCATGAAAAAAACAAATATTGTGACCATGCAGAATGAACCTTGTTGCTCTGAAGACAAGAACCAGGTCTGCAGCCACTTACAGTGAGTTGCCATCTTCCAAATACCTTTGATTCATGGTGATAAAAAGCAATAATATGCAGTCAGTCTGCTGTCAGTATGTGATCACAGTTGCTTGAAGACAGGTTACCTCAAACCAGGCGACCTGTACGATTGCTGTGTAATCAACAGTGGTCATCTAGAGGTTGAGGGTGTTGCACAGTTTGTTGGGAACAGATTGGTTGCTGCAGCTGCTGTCGATCACCGAATGTCCTATTTTTATTCTAGTGTGACTGAGCTATTAGAGAAATCTCCCCCCCTACACAGTATACTGGAAATTAATACCAGTTGTCTTGTGCTTGCCCCCACCCCCCCACCCCCCCACTCCCAAAAGGAAAAAGAAAAAATTCTCCAGCAATCTGTCTTTGCAGTAATCATGACCTAGTTCTCAAAAATATCTCCATAGTTTGTTGTGAGCAGTTTCATGTAGGGACATTTTTCTTTCCACTGAACCACACCCAGCAACTGTTTCCTCTGTGTAAAAGAACATCATGGCTAGAGCCTCATGTTTGTGTCAGCATGACAGGCTGTAAACACTGATGGTACTCCCCTCACTTGATGATGCAGTGTTTTGGATTATTGGATGTAAACTGCAGAAAGAGAACTGACATTTCTGCTGATTTTCACCCATTTTTTGTAGGTTATTTTGCTAGGGCTGGGTGCTTGAAGGAGTTAGAGTTATAAAGGGATGTCACTTTGAGTACCACATGGCAACTGCTGTATACATAATGGATGTTTTCAACAGAAGGGAGACATCTCTACAGCCAACCCCAAAAATGTGGGTTGTGACACTAAAACAGTTTAGATGGAGATAATTAGAGCACAGTATCCAAATATGTAACAATAAGTTGGAGTGAAATGTTCCTCTGTAATGAAGGAAATGTAAATGTACTGATCTGATGCTTTATGTGTGACGTCAGTCTAAGCCCAGACTTAGTTAACAGGTTGCATCCTGCCTGTGTGTGAACTCTTTATTTATTTCAGGGGGACATTGGACCTGCTGGCAGTGATGGCCTTAAAGGCCCACAGGTATAAGCTTTGCTTGGTTATGTATATGCTGCAGATAATCAGCTGTTTGGAAATGTTTAGACACTGTGTTTGACAGAAAATGTTTCACCTGCCTTTGCTTTTGTGTAGGGGCCTCCAGGTCTCGAGGGACAGATTGGACCTCCGGGACTCCGAGGACCGCAAGTGAGTAGAGTTCAAGGCAAGACTGTTGATGGAAGCTTTTAAGTTCAGTTGAGTTGCTGCTCCTTTCACTCAGCTGTCAGTGAAATGAAGTACAAGAGGTTAATGCCAGTCTGTCCATTTTAACAGGGGCATCTAGGATTGACGGGTTCTCCTGGCCCCAAAGGAGATCCTGTAAGTTTGTTCACTTTTTCTGGTTTGGTATTTTCATTTAATAGTTTAGCTTAAAAAAAAGTTAAGTAGCAGCGTATTAAAGGGGTATTTCATTGTTTTTGTTGATTGTCTTTCCTTTAGTCTTAACCCTTAGTAATGCCATAAGGGTTGATAAAACAGGGTCAATGTTTTTTTCATATGTGTCTCTTCTTAGTGTAATTGTGTGAGAGAGAAACATGGGAGGAAGAGATGAAAGAATGGAGAGGCCAAAGCTGAAAACTATTTGGTTTCATGACATCATTATTAGCTTTAATTCATATATAGCCAATAGCTCTTTTTTATAACATATTAGGCTGTTTAAAGGGATAATGCATTAATTTTATCTCACAATGACAATGCAGTTGATTATATTACTCCTAGATGTCTATATAATGTCTATGCACAACACAAGAAAGTGTGGCGGTGAACCTCGTGTGCACATCTCAGTTCTGCACAGGATACATTTTTGTTTTCTTTGATCTTAGTTCTTCTACAAGGTGTGATTAAAATTTAGAAAAATTTAGATCTCTCAGTAGAGCTCCAGCAAGGCCCCTTAAGGGGCTAAACCTCCTCCAGGGTGTATGATGTAGATTACAGAGAGCCAAACGTGGGGAGTGGTGGTGAACAAAGACTGTGTTTGTGTGGACAAAAAGCTTCAACGTTTTTTTTTTAATGTGCTCTGAGCCGGTGAGAGATGGCAAGCTGGAATGCACTGGTATCCCATCAAATGCCTCAACTCATTGCAGTAGATAGGATGCTGACAGCATGACTCTGTGGGAAGAATTCCTGGTGCACAATCAGATAGATGCTGAAAAAAGTTATGAACATGCTCCTTGTCTCGCCTCTCACCTAACACTCTGCCTTTGAGTTGGAAAGTAGTGTTGACTCTTCATGTAAAAACTGCTTGGTTGTAGCTGGAGGTTCCCATAACCTACAAAGATCCTTACATGAAATTCTGTCAGTGTGAAACAGAATTTGACGTTTTCTCTGTTCAAGTTTGAGGCCCATGTTGAAATCACAGAGCACGAAATCCAAGTTGTCAGAAAAGAACATCCAAAGAAATGATCCGCATGTTTGATTTGGCAAATATTTTTACACTGGATGCCCTTCTTATTTATCCGGGCTTGGGACTGGCACTAGGCATACATTGCCTTGCGACCCCACCCCCATGGCCAGATTAGGAAAGAACACCCAGGGAGTAATCTGAAAGATTGTCACGCTGAAAGCTGACTGGACATGCCCTAAGAGATGACCTTGAATGTGAGATGAGCCAAATTTTGATTAGGAAAGATTTTTATATTTTTAGAAGTCTGTTTTGTGAGTCTCTTTTTGGAACGCTCCCCTTGAGGTGTGTCATGAAGATCCTTCACGGTAGGGAAGAGCGAATGATTTCCAGGTGATGAGAGGAGAGAGGTCTCTAGGAAAGATAAGTTAGCAGTAGACACCTGGTGCTTTTCATTTTGTTTCCAGCTTTTCATCGTGAGAAACAAACCAACTACTTCATTTTTATCTGTTGAGTCTTACGTTTGGTGGGAGTCTCCAACTGTTTTGCATTTTAATTTCAAGTGTTTTAAATATGTTTTTGAGTTGATATCATATTAAAACAGCATGCATATTATAGTTATAGTTATATATATAATAGTTATATGCTTAATGTGCATGATGATAAGTTTACAATAGTGTACAAACAATCGTAGGAAAAAAACCCAAACTGAATTTTAATGTTTTCTGTTTCCTTTTTATGTCAGGGGCCTGTGGGGCCTGTGGGGGCCCGGGGGGATCCCGGCTCAGAGGGACCTATGGTGAGCAAACACTGTAACAGCCATTACATCATTACATTACAGTTATAAACCTACATGTATAAATACTGAGCAGACAGAATGTTACAAAGAGATCACTGAGTTCACTCTCAGTTGTTTGTGGTGCTTTTGTTTTCTTTTTTCCTGTAACTTTTGTCATCACAGCAGCTCTACTTCACAGTTTACACTTGCAGCTTATAAACAGTGTTTTTCACGGGTTCTCTAAAAGTGCTACAGAGAGGGGAAACAATGCTGCAGCCTCACAGTGCCATCTACTGGCTGTGATGGCTCATTACTGGATCCGGCTTATTAGCTCTTCACGTTCTTTTCATTTAGGCGTCGCCATCTTCTGATTGTATAAAACTATGTTCTTAGCAGTAATCTGCTTCTGAATCATTGACTAATGTGATTTGTGTGGTATAATTTTACATTCCCCACATTAAAACAATAAAAGTTTCTTTTCCTTTTTTTTTAAATTGACAGGGTGCACCAGGAAGAAAGGGTGATGTGGGTTTTCCTGGAAGAACGGTAGGTGCTCTTGACGAACATATTTACAGCACAACATGCTCGACTGAGCCTTTCCTTTAAACATTTTTTCCCTCACAGGGTAACAGAGGACCAGACGGGGAAAAGGGTGATCCAGGAGCTAAAGGCGACAGAGTATGAACCTGAAACCTTGTTTGTTGACACTGACAGACTGATAAAAGCCTGTAATGATGTGCCTTCCTTGTCTGTAAAGTTTGTTTTTAACTAATGATCATTTTTTGAAATTAGTTTGAACTGTACGGCAGATACAGTGCAAATGAAAAAGTTACACCTATAAAAGGCAAAACTCTGCGTCCCTTTCTGGTCCCCTCCACAGAGTTACTATTCTGACCATTTACATTGTTTCTCTAGTCTTTTGATGTTTTGTCACGTCGGCTTATAGATTTCAGCAGATGTAAGTTGTCTCACTCAGACAGCTGCCGTATGCTCGTCTGTGCCCGGTGCCACCCTCTATTACACTGATCCCATCTAATAGCACTGTGACTGTCACATTATCACTTCTCATATTAGCCATGATTAAAAATTCATTGCCAGCAGCTGTTTATTGCATTTTTTTTTCACCGGGAACCCTAATAATATGAGAACTTTTGGGACGTTTGTCATGTTAGCGGTGAGACCTCACATATGTGTGCTTCCTAGGGATAGATGACATTCACTCAAAGAAATTGATGCTTTTATCATTTTGCTTCTAATTTATGTCAAATTAATTTGTGGGAGCAGGAAAGAACCCGTCACACTCAGCCAGTGTGCTTCCAAAAATGTCAAAGGTCTCCTATAACATCTCATTTGCTGTAAAGTCAGTGTGTGAGTAAGAAAAAAGATCTAGATTTAATAACAAACTGAACTTTTTTTTTTTTTCAGGGTATTCAGGGGGCAACAGGCATTAGCGGTCCTCAGGGCGAGAGGGGCCTCGTTGGATTCCCTGGTTTCCCAGGAGCCAAAGGCCAGCCCGGCCCTAAAGGCACTGAGGTACAGTGTGTAGCACTGTGGTTAAACCTATTCATGGAGATCCCAGTGTGATACAGAAGCTGTGTGCAAATTCAGCTCTGGCAGAAAAGTCAGTCCTGAGTTTCAACAATCTCGAGTTAACCTCCAGAAAAATAAACTTTTTCATGATACAGTTCAAAAGACTCATAATAAACACAATAAACTATGTGGCGTGGTGTTTGCCACAGCTTAATATTGTATAACATACTCTTTTATCTGGAAGCATGCCTTTTGAGAATGAAAAAAATGAGATGCGCTTCACTGACTTTATATATTTTCCACTCAGGGCATCGATGGCGAAACTGGCCTCCAGGGAAAACAGGGCAGCTGTGGGTTAAAGGTCAGTGATGATTTATGTGTCTGAACACCACAAAATGTCAGATGACTTCATATGTTGTTCCAAATGTCCAATTTAACTACGTAACAGAACTTCCAGTGACCTCCTGAATGTAAATTTGGTGTCACATGCTCACATCCTTCATTCCACACAATCAGTCATTAATGTAGTTTCACCACCATATAACAGCATAGCTAACGATAAACAGAAATATGACTTATTTCTGTTCTTGTCTTTTTGTGTAATAAAAATATAATCTGTGATTTTAATATGATTTAGATACAATTGCCACAATGCTGACGTTGTGGACAGCTGATTGAGATGATTGAGTCATTGTAGTCACTAATATCTTTAAAGGGAAACAGAGGACCAGATGGACGTGATGGCAAACCAGGACCCAGGGGGAACAAGGTATTGAACTCCAAAAGATGTTTGAATACACACTTTTTTTTGTTACCAAGGTCATATATATGTCAATATTAATTCATTCATATTAATCTGTTCCTTTTGTTTTCCCCAGGGTTTGACCGGACAAAGAGGTCATCCTGGCCAACCAGGCCCACCGGTAAACTTATATTGTAGCTTTGGTTAGAGTAAGATTTGGCAGCTGGGGGAACGCTAAGATCTGGTGTAGCATTTCAGGGTAGGGAAAAGAATCACTTGGAAGTAAGGCATGTAAAAATTTAGATTTATTTCATTTCAATTTCAGTTTTATTTTATAGCGCCAAATCACAATAACAGTGAACAAGGCGCTTTATATTGTAAGGTAAAGAACCTACAGCTGACATGTGCTGCTGCTATTTTGCTGTGAGGTTTACAGGTGTTGTGGAGTTACCTTTAACCTTTAAATAAATAAATATGATGTTAAATATGACTGTGGTGTGATTGAGACACGGCCAATCCATAGATTGGTGTTCAGAGCCATCTTTATTTTACTCAACTGCAGCTGGCAGCCACACACATCACACCACATTCACACCTTTTACAACTCTCTCCCCAAACTCTGATTCCCCGTGTTTAACAGGGCGGGTGTGATTGCAGATGCCGTGTGTCCGCACAGCACCGCAGTCCACGCCCCACCACAATGACAAACCTGAACAAACTTCAATTTGTTTCCAAGTCATTTCATAAATTAAAAAAATAATAATAATTTTTAGTGAATCTATATGTGATGTGTTGCTATCTTATTAAAAGAAAATCTAGCATGATTAAGAAGCTTTAAATTTAGGTTTATTAAAACCTGAGCAGTCCTTTTGACACGAGCTTCTCTACGTTTAGCTTGCACACTCATTGTGGTGCAAACTGGACAGATATTTTTTCAAATATTCGAATCGTTTGCCAAGCATGCCGTCAGCTGGAGGCACCTCCAAGCTGCAGCAATCAAAACATTAATTCTCTTGACAGTATTATGTATTAAACTGCTTGTCAGATTTGATGATTCAAAACTGCAAATGCCAGAATGCAGTTCCAGGTCATTCTGGTTCACTTTAACCCCTGGTTAAATGTTCAAATTGCAAAAATAAATAAATTGTATATTTATTACAAGTATAAGCCCTCAGTAGATACATAGTTGCAGTTGATATGTTTATAAACTGTATATTTATCATATAATCTGTATCTAAATTTCATTACAGTCCTCCATACAAGAATTGATTTACATTATTTTAAAAATGTTTTAGCATTAGAGGATTGCTGAATTTAATTAGTCAAATATACTTATACAGTAAACACATATTCTTTTGTACTGTTCAGTAATATCCGGCTGAGCTACAGTTATGTGTTTCTCTCCATCTCCTTTCAGGGTTTGCCGGGGCCACCTGGAACAGAGGGAGCAGAAGGAAAGCCTGGTACACAGGTTCCCATTCTCTATCATATTTCAATCCCATCACCTGAAAATGCTGCGTGTGTGTTTGTGTGTGTCTGCATTTCATGTACTCCTGTCTCGTTCTGTATTGTAACAGCATGTACTGTATTATTCAGTGAAATACTTAAATATATGAACTCATTTCACAAACATTTTATCACTTGGGTTTAGACCCAGTGTTGTCTTTTATAGGGAAGAGACACGACAATGCACATCGTGCACTTTACAACTGTGTGGCTGCTGAATACAGATTTTAAGTAGTGATGATGGATTTGCCCTCAAACTGTCAAAACTGACTCCCAAGCTGAGGGGAAGGTGTCTAATAATTGTTGGTTTAAACAGCAGGAGGCAGTCTTTGTACAGCACGGTAGTACTGAAGGAAATAACTCCCTGTCTTGTTTGCTAATCTCTCCAACTGATCCCATGTAAAACATGTATTTGATTGTAATGTACACAAGAGCAACACATTTGGCTCATTATAATCAGTATTTTAATTTCTGTATTTAGTGTAACGGCTTATTTTTTCAGAAAATGTGTAGGAGTTCATGATTAACAATGCGTATAATTAAGAGACTGAACACTTGTACTTTTAATGACCTCTGCTGCCGGGAAAAATTGCATTGTTGGTATTTTCTGTCTCTGTTTCAGGGTCCCTCAGGTGCAGCTGGTGTTGCTGGTACTAAAGGGCCGATGGTAAGGCCGTTAGCCGCAGGATGACCTCAGCAGTACATGACATCATTCCTTAAACCTTGCATTGTTGGCTTTTTGCCACATCCTCCAGGGTTCAGCAGAATAAAAACACATTATTACCATTTTTACAAGGCAGCTCAGGATAAAATTACAGATGGTTCTATAAATTCATGAGAAGGCAACAAACACTTAAAAAAGTGAAGTTTTAACAAGACAGAACAGCGCTCGCTACCGGCCCGTTAAACATATCAGCTGTGTTGACTTAAAGTTTTCAGCGCTGCATTGGCTGGTCTGAGTAAGTATATTCGTGTATGTATCACAAGGATAATTACACATAGTTAATGTAATAAATACTCACTCTTTTGCAAATGTTTCTGGACTCACTGAACCAATATGTGGTTGTTGGACATTTTCCAAAGCCATGGACATTACAAAAGCTTATCTTATGTAAAGTGGGATAGACCCGAGATTAACTTTTCAGCGTGACTTGGAGCACAGGATACCTTTGATTGTCATGTGATCTGGTAAATACAGTGGGGCAAAAAAGTATTTAGTCAGCCACCGATTGTGCAAGTTCCCCCACCTAAAATGATGACAGAGGTCAGTAATTTGCACCAGAGGTACACTTCAACTGTGAGAGACAGAATGTGAAAAAAAATCCATGAATCCACATGGTAGGATTTGTAAAGAATTTATTCGTAAATCAGGGTGGAAAATAAGTATTTGGTCAATAACAAAAATACAACTCAATACTTTGTAACATAACCTTTGTTGGCAATAACAGAGGTCAAACGTTTACTATAGGTCTTTACCAGGTTTGCACACACAGTAGCTGGTATTTTGGCCCATTCCTCCATGCAGATCTTCTCGAGAGCAGTGATGTTTTGGGGCTGTCGCCGAGCAACACGGACTTTCAACTCCCGCCACAGATTTTCTATGGGGTTGAGGTCTGGAGACTGGCTAGGCCACTCCAGGACTTTCAAATGCTTCTTACGGAGCCACTCCTTTGTTGCCCGGGCGGTGTGTTTTGGATCATTGTCATGTTGGAAGACCCAGCCTCGTTTCATCTTCAAAGTTCTCACTGATGGAAGGAGGTTTTGGCTCAAAATCTCACGATACATGGCCCCATTCATTCTGTCCTTAACACGGATCAGTCGTCCTGTCCCCTTGGCAGAAAAACAGCCCCATAGCATGATGTTTCCACCCCCATGCTTCACAGTAGGTATGGTGTTCTTGGGATGCAACTCAGTATTCTTCTTCCTCCAAACACGACGAGTTGAGTTTATATCAAAAAGTTCTACTTTGGTTTCATCTGACCACATGACATTCTCCCAATCCTCTGCTGTATCATCCATGTGCTCTCTGGCAAACTTCAGACGGGCCTGGACATGCACTGGCTTCAGCAGCGGAACACGTCTGGCACTGCGGGATTTGATTCCCTGCCGTCTGGTGCAGGTCTACAATACTTTTCCTGGTGTCCTTCGAAAGCTCTTTGGTCTTGGCCATGGCGGAGTTTGGAGTCTGACTGTTTGAGGCTGTGGACAGGTGTCTTTTATACAGATGATGAGTTCAAACAGGTGCCATTCATACAGGTAACGAGTGGGGGACAGAAAAGCTTCTTACAGAAGACGTTACAGGTCTGTGAGAGCCAGAGATTTTCCTTGTTTGAGGTGACCAAATACTTATTTTCCACCCTAATTTACGAATAAATTCTTTACAAATCCTACCATGTGGATTCATGGATTTTTTTTTCACATTCTGTCTCTCACAGTTGAAGTGTACCTCTGGTGCAAATTACTGACCTCTGTCATCATTTTAAGTGGGGGAACTTGCACAATCGGTGGCTGACTAAATACTTTTTTGCCCCACTGTATGTTATTGGGTAACCTTAAAGCTTTAAAGCAATTTGTGATGACCAAGTTGCTTCTAGTGTGTCAGTCAATAGAAATAGAAAACATTCAGTCTGTATTCTATTTAGTCTCAAAAACACCTCAAGTATAAACTGTATGTAAGCAGACATCAACTCTGAAAAGTCGATGTGGAAGAGCCTTTAACATGCATTCTTCTAATGGTCAACAGGAGGCAAATCTGGCTGGAAAAAAAAAGGGGCAGATAATATAAAAGTATATGCTGCTCACTTTATGACCTCATTAATCAGTTTCCTTCCTGAGTTTATAGTCTCAGTTAGGGCTGTGCATAGGCAATAACAATATCTTAAAATTAAACGATAATCTTTTGTGTCTGTAATTCACACAACTGCTTTTTTGCTTTTGAACACTCATGATGTTTTTTGCACTTCTGTTTTTATTATTTAATTAAAATAAACACTATAAAATGAAGTTATAAATACATTTAGCTGATGGTATTTTTTATACATAGTGCAACAATAATCATGAGGTGAGAATGTAATTTAATATTGTGAAAGCCCAGTCTCAGTCACTGGTTTTAAGTTTTCGTCAAGGCAATACGTCGTGAAAAATTATGAAGCATAATTCCCCTCATATTACATTTGCCTTGGGGAAAACCTAAATTTTTGTTCATGCCTAACAAAATTATTGTGAGAGTGTCCAATGAACTTGCATTTTTGTTGCCTCTGAAATGGTTGTTTCAAAGACAGGTACCAGGTCTTCAACCACTCATTGTCAGTTGTCTTCTCTGAAATGAGCTTGGTGGTGCACATGATGATAAATCAACAGTGAGATGGAGCCAGTCTGCTGTCAATTTGCTATCAGTATGTGAATGAATGGGGTCAACTTAGCAATTACATGCAATCTGTATAAGATAAAAAGGCCAAAAAAAAGATATTGTCATCTACATACACAAACAGAAGGATGCTGTGGGATGGCGATTTAACAGCAAAGTTGCACATGTGCACATACACTCTACAACCTTACTTTTATGAAGGACTATAAAGAGAATACAACCAGTTGGCAACCAGTTAATTCATCCCCTATTGCAAAGCAGTGCATACACCGGAAACTGGTGTTGGCAGTCTGTCTACATTTATAAATTAGAGGATGATTATTTGCAAATCGGGCAGTTGTTGCCTTAACACTGTTGCCTCACAGCAAGAAGGTCCTGAGTTCAGTTCCACCATCAGGGAGGGGTCTTTTCTGTGGAGTTTGCATGTTCTCCTCGTGTTTGCTTGGGTTCTCCCCAGGTACTCTGGCTTCCTCCCACTGTCCAAAGACATGCAGTTAGTGGGGATAGGTAATTAGAAACTCTAAATTGCCCATAGTTGTAAATGTGAGTGTGAATGGTTGTCTGTGTATATGTGTTAGTCCTGCGACAGACTGGCGACCTGTCCAGGGTGTACCTTGTCTCTTGCCCTAAGACAGCTGGGATAGGCTCCAGCACCCCCCACGACCCTGAAAAGGAGAGAAAAGCAAGTTTGGGGAAGAATTTTCCCCAAACCTTTCCTACAAAATTAGAATTTTCTAAAATGTTTATACTGTACTTATCTTAAATGTACTTTAAGATACGATTTTCCGAGCACAAGAAAGCTGCTAAATCAGCTGAGAAAACATGAATCATCTCATGAATCCCTTTTAATGCAACTGCCAAGAAACAATTAAATCCTGTATTCAGCAATCATTAGCAAAATGCTGAATCAGCCAATTTAGACTAATAGTATAACAGCTCACTGCACATTATTTTGTGTTTGCACTTTTATAGATCATCAGTGCAGTTCTCCTTGGTTCTTTGCCCATTCTTCATTACGTCTTCTCCTTCCTATTTAGGGGTTTCAAGGAATTCCCGGAGTGAGAGGAACTGATGGTGCACCAGGTTCTGCGGTATGCCTTTGTTTTTATTTCATTTTGAGAGACAGAGCACTGTACCTGTGTAGCGTGTAGAGCAAGGGTCCCCAATCCCAGTCCACGAGGGCCGGTGTCCCTGCAGGTTTTAGATGTGCCCTTGATCCATCACAGCTGATTTGAATAGATAAATTACCTTCTCGACATGTCCTGAAGTTCTCCAGAGGCCTGGTAATGAACTAATCATGTGATTCGGGTGTGTTGACCCAGGGTGAGATCTAAAACCTGCAGAGACACCGGCCCTTGTGGACTGAGATTGGGGACCCCTGGTGTAGAGGCTTGATAGCCTGGAAAGACTTTGTCATTGAAAGGATATAGCTCAAAAACTGTATGAAGGTATTATCTAATCCCTTGGTTTTTCATGTAAAGTGCACCTATTATGCTCATTTCAGGTCCATTTTTTATTCTTAGACTCTACTATAGCTGCTTTGCATAATTATTGGGATGATATTCAAACTAAGCTTAATATATTGCAGTGATATTGAGTAGCTGGTATCATTTCCTGAGAAACAGGAAATAACTGTGTTTGCAAAAATGTCCTAAATTTTACCCTGCAAGATCAGCAGCATCCTTGTTTTTAATGTTACTGTTGTAATGAAGGTCATGACATGTAAATCTGACTGGCTGATAAGATAAACATTTTCTACCACGTCTTAGTTTTGATGGATTCCTTGTTGTTGACATATCAGGGGCCAACGGGGAAGACGGGGCCTCCAGGCTCACCAGGACCCCCAGGAGAAAGGGTGAGGCTGCAAATAGTAGTCATGACCTCTGTGATATCTGTCTACAGAGAAGTTTTTTTTTTAATGTTTTTTTTGTGTTTTGAATGTGTTTCTTCAGGGCTTCACAGGAAAGCCAGGGTTTGAGGGACCTCAGGGCCCTGTAGGCATGTATGTAAGTGATTCTTCTGCTGCAAGGAATCCGCCTGCATTACATTTCAAAACAAAATGTATGTACATACAGTATATAAGCAGCACAAGTTTAGCATAACAACTAGTAAAAGTAGTAAGTAAAATTTATTTATATAGTACTTTTTAAAACAGGAAGTTATTTCAAAGTGCTTCACTTGGGAATAAAAGCATATCAATCGAAACAATAAAACAGTATAAAGAGGGTATAGTAACATATCCAATAAAAGAGTATACTACACATGAATATTACCTAAATGCCTGTCTAAGCAGATGTGTTTTGAGCTGTTCCACAGTATTGGAGCCAGGGGTCGAAAAGCGTAATCCCCCTTTGTTTTCAAACGGGCCCGTGGAATGGTTAGAAGACCACTATCAGTGGATCTAAAGATCCGGTTTGGAGAGTAGGGTTGGAGAAGCTCAGTGATATAGGTGGGGGCCTCACCTTGTAGGGACATGAATGTAAGAGTAAAACTGATATCTATACCCAACCGGAAGCCAGTGCAAGGATTTTAACACAGGGGTGATATGGGAGAATTTATGACTGTGGGAGCCCTGCTGCGGCATTTTGGTCCGCTTGGAGGCGATTTAGGGAAACCTTAGGCAGACAAGAAAAGAGTACGTTACGTTAGTAATCTAAACAAGAGGAGATGAAGGCATGGACAAGTATCTCCAGTTTGCCTTTGGATACAATAGTCCTGAGTTTGGCAATGTTTCTTAAATGAAAAAAGCAGGAGCGGGTCACAGACGTGATATGAGCGTCAAAAGACAGAGGTTCTGAGCAGTAGCTTTTATTGAGGATGAAAAGGACACAGACATTGACTAATTTGGGGCTTGATGCTCTCTGGGGCAATGATCAATCACTCAGTCTTGTCTGCATTCATCTGCAAGAAATTGTTTGTCATCCAACCATTAATCTCTTTAAGACAGTCCATTAGAGGGAATAATTTGTCTAATTCCCAGGGTTTAAAGGAGATGTATAATTGGATATCATTTGCATACAGGTGGTAGGAAATAATTTTGAAGCTACTAATGATACGGCCTTAATGAAGGATATATAATGAAAACAATAGGGGGCTTAGAACCGAACCTTGCAGAACTCCCCATGACAATTTAGCTACAACTGAGCAAAGGTTTCCCACCGAAACTATGAATGTTCTATCTGCCAGAAATGAGGCAAAACAGATCCAGATATCCCCACCATATGATTTAAGCGGTGAATTAAGATCTGATGATCAACGGTATTGAAGGCCGAGCTAAGGTCCAATAGGACAAGGATTGAGCAATCGCCTCTGTTCGCGGCCATCAAAAGGTCATTTGTGACTTTGAGGAGAGCAGTTTCTGTGGACTGTGACTTTCTGAATCCCGACTGAAGGTCATCAAGAATGTTATGTTTCTCCAGTGCCTTCTTTACTTGGGACCAAACGACCTTTTCTAATATTTTAGAAATGAAAGGAAGTTTTGAGATGGGTCTGTAGCTTGACTGAAGAGTCAGATCCAGGTTCGGCTTTTTCAGCAGAGGTTGAATAACACTCTGTTTAAAGCACCTGGGGACAGAGCCAGACAGTAGGGAACAGTTTATCCGTGTGACCACAGAGGGCCCAATGGTGTCAAAAACTTTGCAAAATAAAGAAGTAGGTAGGACATTGAGGGTTTCATTTGGATCAGTATTTCTTTTAGATCTTCTAAAGAAACTGGGTGAAGGGATTCGATAATTACAGGGTGTGGAAGATCGTGGTTGAAGGGACTATCTGAGGGAGCTGAGTTTCCTCTTAGGTTACTGATTTTGTCTTGGAAAAATCTTAGAAAGTCATTGCAGTCCTTATCTGAAATGACAGGTGTACACGGAGTTTGGGAGAGACTATGTTACTTACTGTACTGTGAACCTTAGGATTTCTTTTTCCTACTGCAAGTCGTTTAGTGAAATAAGTGGCTCTCGCATCTTTCACCATGTAGTTGAAGGTAGATAATAGTTCTTTTAGGTGGAGCTTATGAACCTCAAGTTTTGTGGCTTTCCACAGGCGCTCAGTTTTACGGCAAATTCGCCTAAAGCTGCGAATAGCTTCTGTGAACCAGGGCAGGGATTTGGTAGTGCCGCTTTTCCTGATTTTAAGAGGAGCAACTTTATCTAGAATATTTTGACAATGTGAATTAAAGGGTCAGTAATTAATCGTGAATGCTTCACATGAACAGAGGGCAGTGTGTCAGAAATAAAGGAGAGATCAAATAAAAGATATTTATGATCACTAATAAAAATGTCCTCACGACAAACTGGACCGATATCCAGACCCAGTGATAGAATCAAATCTAAGGTGTGGCCACCCCTGTGTGTTGGCCCAGTTACCAGTGTGTTGGGTAAAGTTAAAGGAGTCTAAAGGACTAAGAAATTCAGAAGCAGTGTGGCATGATTTGTCATCAACATGGACATTAATATCCCCCAGCAGAAAGATTTTATTCAGCTTGATGGTGGAGGATAGAAAGTCAACTAAGAAACTCCTCGCTAGTGCCAGTGGTCTATAGATTGAGATCACATGGAAGGGATTATTCCTGTTTATCTTCATCATCTGAATCTCAACAGAATTAAAAGAAGAGGTCTTCACCAGATGACAGAAAAAGGAGTTTCTAGCAATAACAACCAGCCCACCTCCACATCCTGAAATCAATCGTGTGGTCAGACAAATACAGACAAATCTGCAGGGCCCAGTTCATTGAAATGAGGAAATTCCATATTTCGCTGCCAAGTTTCCGATAGGAATAAAAAAATCCAGGTTATTCCAGGTTATTCCTAATAAAACAAAGGACAAATGCCTTGTTTGAGATTGAACGACAGTTTAATAGGGTCATCTTAATCGGCGAGGCTGAAACATCTGTGGTTAGATCCTGAGAGGCTTGGCGCAGGTTTGCCCTGCACAATGCCCGGGACTTCTTACCTTTTATCGTAAGCCGCGGTACAGTAAGACTGTCCTTATGAAACTCGTGCGGAGAAGCCGTGCATTCAGCTGGAAGTCCGTTTTAGCTAAAACATCCAATGTTGGGAGCCTCGAACAGGATGCTAAATCAGCGGTATTCCTATATTTCCATAATCTCACTTGGATGCCCGCTCTCCTTCCTCGCTTCCTCCGGCAACTTTTTGTCGAGGAATGGCAGCTCCGGTTTCTGCCTGACACAAGCAACCATGGGAGGTTATGGGCATCAGCTTATCGCCCAAGTGGTGGAGGGAAGCCTCCAAAGTGTTTCTCATTTTTATCCGTCAACTCCATTGCTGATTTGATCCGAAATAAGGTATTTCGATCATAAATGTAGGTAGCTGTAATCTCATCCACAAACAGCAGCAGAATAGGTAATACAACACAAAACAAGAATAGAGACCCTGACAGCGGTATTGCCGATCTGAAGGTGACTGGCTTGGCTCTGAAGTATATTCAGTCTGTTACGTAAGGCCCAAAATGGCCTCCGTACAAGAAAGTAGTAGCTCTAATATTGACCAGTAACGAACCACCACACGCACACTGTAATGGGTTACACAAGATTTATTTGTTCTTTCTCCGGGAAAAACTACTGGCTGAAGACACAACTCTGGCCAGGAATACAAGGCCCAAAGCCACCGCGGTCAGGACAGGGGAAAGGTGGTCACTTGGAAGAACAAGCAGCCAAAACATATCAATCCTGCATCTTCCTCAAAAAGGCTTGCCATCCACCTTTTCAGGCCCGACTTCATCGAGGCTGGGTCTCCACATCACATCCTGGGAGCTGGAACTTCCCCAAAACTGGTCCAGTTTCCTTGTCAGGGGCACAGAGAGTCTCCAGTCCAGCGTTTGTTTTCCTGCCTCCCAGAACATCCACTCACATCCCAATAAGAATGAGTCCTCCCTCCAACATCTTCAGATTATTTTAAAAGCAAAACCAGGCCCGGTTAAAAATCTTTTCCGTTAAAATGTGCACACTTCATCCTGGATCTTCGAGGCTTCCCTGCTACACCAGTGTCCTACTAAAAAAAAAAAAACAACGACAACACCTACTTCCTGTTTCCTCTCCCCTTTATAGAGAAGGGCTCCAATCCTCCCCAATCAGCTGCTCCCTGTATTCAACTCCAAATAGCTGGCAGCTGGACTAGAGTAGAATCTCCACTCCCACATGGGTGTGGCCCACACCTCACATCAAACACAAAGAAACACCAAAGCATGCAAGCAACACAAAACAAAATCTAAAGTAATGCCAACCCAAAAGCTTATACTCTGTAACAAGTCTTTTTAGTGTATTTTATAGCTTTTCCAGAAAGAAAGAAAGAAATCTGTCGCCACGACTCTTTGACCTTACATTTTTAAAAGTAAATGTGTAAAATTACAGAAAACCATAATTTGACCGCTTTGGTGTAGCATGAATAGCCATGGGGGAGGTTTTATCAGTAGGAAAAGCTGTAAAACCTATGAACATACAATTAAAAATCCAAAATTTCTGTTCTCTTTCACATTTTACGAAGCCATACAATTAGCCAGATTGTAATCTTTGCTGGTCCAATTCTGGTCCCCAGGCCTTTTGTTTGATATAGTGGTTAAAATTGGTATTACATGAGAATACAGCTCGGCCCTAGTTGGACTTCAGCTCATATCACTTGAACACAATACACAGATGTTTTGGGAAGAAAGTCACAGCTGTTGTGTCTAACAGCTTTTATTAGTTTTGAATGATTTCAAATATGCGCGTGAACATTGTAGTATATCCTGAAATAAAATAATTAATCTTTAAATAATTATGGTATGGCGCTAAAAGCCTACAAGAGCCTTCAGCTCCATATTTGCTGAAATGATAGTAGTAATAATGTCCTGTGTCTCCCTCTGTCATTAGGGTATCCCAGGAACTGTGGGAATGCGTGGGCCAACAGGTTTCACAGGACCAAGGGTAAGATCATCCTCCTGACATCTATCTCACCTTGTCCTTTTTCATATAGGAACTGGACGAAAGATGTTGTTGTACGTACATGAGTCGGTAAATTGTGTTAAAAGTGAGGGACTCAGCTATGAAAAGGGCAAGCGAAAGATTTTTGACTAGAATATTTTTGACATTTAGGTGAGTACAGAAATGTTCTGTTAAAGCTGTTAAAATCTTTTGATTGGAAGTAACTTTACAGCTTCAATTATCAGAAACAATCACAATAAAATTATTTTTCTTTTTTCTGCACCAGGGGGAGCCAGGTTTACGAGGATTACCCGGTCCTGTTGGGAAGCCTGGACCTCCAGTAAGTGTCTGCAGTTTATTTTTGCTTTTTTATTTCCTAACCTTTAACCCCTGGGAGCTATTTGGGGTATATGAGGGGTAGACTGAGTATTGTAAAGCAGATTAGATTAAAGCAGAAGAGATGGTGGGGTCACACCAAGAAGGGGCTGGTAAATAAAATAGACCGATGAAATGTGCAGCTGGTCTACAGGGACTGCCAGTATATGGAGGCAAACAAGTCAGAGTGATTGATTTTACTGAGAGCTCTGGAGGAAAATCTAATGGCGAAGTAAGTGATGTGGCAGGCTCAGCTGAAAGAGGACAAATAAATTGTTCCAATCACTGTCTTCGCGTCTGGCCACAACTGTACACATCAAATGCCAGCTTAATTCTTCAAATAGGTACTCCACTGATCTTCCCTGTTTATTGTTTTTTTCTGTAATGGTACAAAATAATTACCTCAACTTGACTCATATGGTTTTTTTTTCAGTTTTGGTTAAGTTGTGGGAGAAAAAACAAAATCTGTGCTGTTCTTGCCAAAGTTTGTTTACCCTATAAATCACTGTCGGTCTTTTTGTTGGTTAGATTTAGGAATAAGAAGGTCCCTTGTGCATGGAAAGAGTTAGTTTTAAGTAGTGAAAGTGAGACTGTTTTTTGAAGCTGCCAGCACTCTATGCAGTGTCATTGGAGCCACTTTTTACTTACACAGATGGCTGCCCAACACTGCAGTGAAATCAATCAATGTGTCATAGAAATAAGGCAGTTTGAGCTCAGTTTGAACGCTAAATAATGTCTTAAACTCGTCATTGTTCCACATCACTGAAGGCATTTAAAGCTGCACTCATCATGGTAGAGAAAAACCCAGGTTAAGGTTCCAAAGATTATCAGGCATACAAATGTTAGTGTTTTATTCTCACTGAGAATAACAAAATACAAGTAAACAAACCAAGGGGATGTGTCAGACAGAAGATATTGTGTTTTTAGATAAGTTAAAAAAAGTTAACTTAAATTTTTAAACATGTGCTTTTAGGTCAATTACAGGTCATAAAATCATTAAAGATACTTAAAGAACTTAATATCCTTTAAGTGTGTTTAGTTTGTATTGGTGTTACACTAGCTTAGCTATGGTTAAAGATTCAGGACAGGTTGAAACTGAGTAACCTAAAACACATCTTTACAGCCAGAGATCACTAAAATTACAGTTAAAAAAAAAATCTCCATCTGCAGATAACAATTCATCTTTACAAATCAAGTAATACAACTAGTACAATGTCAGTAAATCATAAGATTTTACAGCTTGTGTGAACTTTCTACAATTTTGGAGGAGTGCCCACATAAAAATGAATAAATAAATAAGATAAAATAACAATAATTAAATATAAATACATAAATAAGATCACACTGTTGATCACCTAAGACATCAGCAATATCCAGTTTTGTAGGTTTAACATATTTTACCCACTTATCCCATAGCTGATCAACCACAGAAAGCAACCAATGTGATGTGAGTGTTTTTTAAACATGCAGATATAAGGAGCATGATCTAACTCTGTTTCATTTTTTTAGGGTTTGCAAGGTCCTCCTGGAGAGAAGGGACCCCGGGGACCACAGGTGAGACAAATCCTCACAAGGTGGTTTATCTTATAATTTGGTTGTAAGTGTTAAGTTTCTGGTGTCTCTGTGAAATATCACTTTGAGAAACCATCACATTAAACATTATAATTTATAATAATAATAAACTGAAAATAAAAAAGGACACAAGATGAATAAGTATTTCTGCAAATGCAATTAAACCCTGATTTAAAAATCAGCCCAACAGTCAGAAATATCCTTCTTTTGTTTTCTTGCATTTGATGATGATAATTATGATGATGGTAAATGGCCTGTATTTGTATAGCGCTTTACTTAGTCCCTAAGGATCCCAAAGCGCTTTACACTACAATCAGTCATCCACCCATTCATTCACACACTGGTGATGGCAAGCTACATTGTAGCCACAGCTGATCTGGGGCGCACTGACAGAGGCGAAGCTGCTGGACACTGGCGCCACCGGGCCCTCTGACCACCACCAGTAGGCAAACATGACGCCTTTTAACTTCATAAGGCAAAGGCCTATTAACTTTTCGTTAGTGATTATGATTATGACTACAGCTAGTTTGGTAGTTTGTCTTTGCCAGCATAAAATGGACTTGCTCAAATTGGACTGACCAATAGTCAGAGTTATAGGAAAGTCCAAGGAAGATTAAGATCTAAGTAGGAGAATTATAGATTTACACAAGTTAGGATGCTGCCTTGGAACCATTTTTAAACAGCTGCAGATTCCAAGCTCATTCATTCAAACAATTGTACACAGGTACAAGACATTTGGATTTGTCGCCATTTTGCCAAGGTCCAGAAGAAAACCATATATCACCCTCAGATATAAAGAAAATTGTTTATGATTTTCAAGAAAACCCAGGAACAACCAACTGGAAAGTGCTGAAACACCAGCATCACTGTACACAGCCAGAGTTTTATTTTACTGAGATGGTGCTGACCAAGAAACAAGCCGCTGCTCCAAAATGAACTCATTCATGCTCAGCTTAAATTGAGCAGCTGCCACCATGGAAAATCCATTTGCCTTCTGGAGAAAAGTTTCATGGTCAGAGAAACAAAGATTGAGCTATTAGGCTCAATGACAAGAGGGAAGGTGAGGGTTTCAAAGCTAAGTGCTTTGTATCAACTGTCAAGTATGGTGATGATAGTATCATGCTGAAACTATCAAATATCAAAACTCAGTTTGGAAAGCAGAATAACATTAAGCTTCTGGAATAGCTTTCCCAACGCCCCAACCTCAACCCTATTGAAAATTTATGAACAATGCTAAAAGAGGCATCCATGTCAGGAGACCAACCAATTTAAATGAACTCTACCAATTCTGCCAAGAAGAGTTGTCAAATATCCAGCCAGAGTTATACCAGAAACTGTTTTTTTGGGGGGTTTTTTTTCCTTTTTTACCAGAAACTTGTTGATGGCTATCCAAAGGTTGAGGTACAAGTTACTAAGGAACATTTTACCAAGTACTGGAGGTGTACATGCTTTTGTTGTACAATGTGTTCACCTTGTTGGTGAACTCTCGCCAGTCACTTTAACCATCGTCAATCCCTGACACCATCATCCATTGCCTCAACCCCTGCTGAGCAGAAGGATAACTTTGTCAGAGAAATAAAATGTTAAAAAATACCAAACGGCATCACAGGCTTACAGGCAATTTAGTTTAGTTTAGCAACAGCATTGTGATTCATCAAACAATACGTTGTATGCCTAAATTAGAATAAACTGAAAGCTAAAAAGAAGAAAAACATTCCAAAGAGCCTCACAGAATTGCAGTAAATATTTAAAGGCAATTCAGCATGAGCACTAGCATCATTAATCGTTAAAATAGCCTGCTGCTAAATTGGGATGATCAGTGTGATAAGCTGAACAAAGCATGCCCAACAAGATTCGATTTACAGATATTTTGCTAATAGCATATTTACCAGAGCAAACGAAAAAACTGTCAGAGAGATAAAGTGAGGAAATATATTAAATAAGGTCGCAAACTGACAGTTTTAAAGGCAATTTAACATTATGCTAAAATTCTTTTCAGAGCCATCACAGCATGACTTTCAATTCTGTGTTTCAACAAGTTGAACTGTTGTTGTTTCTAACAGGGTCGTCTAGGAGATGACGGCCTCAAAGGGATACAGGGTCCACAAGTAAGTTTGAGTTAAATAAAGAAGATTGCACTCTGCATTTTCATTTGGGCAGATTGTGTTTGCCCAATCTCACTCACTGCTTTTTCCTTTATTTAACGTGGCATGTTTAGATTAGGTGTTGAAGAATATGTAGTTCTGCATGCTGTTGAAGGTCTGCCTAGAAAACAAAACCAGTCTGCAGTACTTACTATTCAATTCTATGTTTTTGCTGATTGTCCCGTCAGACTTGTTGATGAAGCTATTTTTGGTCAGGCTTGCTGTGACTCCCACAATAAGACAAAATAAAACTAATCATTTAAAGATCATCTAAAGCTCCACTGAATAAGATGCAGCTGTTGTAAGCTGTTACTGCAGGGAGGGAGCTGTCTTTCCATAAAACTGAGTATGCTGTATTTACATCACATAAATGGGTTTTAATTGATTCATTGTTGCTGATTTCCCTGCAACCCGTTCTTGTATTATATTACTCACAATCCATGAAACAATCATCACAAAATGAGTAAGTTACCAGTCATTTCATCATCGACGTGCTCCAGCGGTGCATAAAAACAGAAGAAGTGTTTATTTGCAATCGTTTGCATTTGTTAGACATGTATATAGGCAAACGGGCAAATATATTGGTTTAAAATCTCTTTAAATTAAAATTGATTGTATGTTATTGATGAATTGTACACATTAAAGAGAAAAAATGTGTTGTGATTAAATCACAGGATGTGCTTCAGGAAGTGTTTACTCCAAATTAATGAAAAAAATAATCAGTGAGCAAAATAGTGATTGTTTTTATATTAGACTTTAAAAAAAATAACCTAATTGAAAAAGTTTCAATTTGTATTCTTTTTTCTGTCATTTTTAAGGGTCCTCCAGGTCTACCAGGTCCTGATGGGGCAATTGGAAAACCAGGACCAATGGGAAGCAAAGGGCCTCCAGGACCTCAGGGACCACAGGGGCAGGCAGGAATCCCAGTGAGTGGGTACCTACCATCGACTGCTGTTACCTCATGTTGCATGGAGAGATAAATGTCCATGTTATTTGTTTTTCAATACATGTAAAATCTACTGAATCATCACAAGAGTGCATAAAAGCTGACGTGCATGTCTGTTGGATCTGATCAGGGTCCGCAGGGTGCTGATGGATTATCAGGGGAACCGGGGGAAAGAGGACCTAAGGTAAATTACAGTAAACTTCAACAATTATGTAATGTAAATGTTTTATAATGACAATCTCTTATTTCTTCCTTCATTAATGTTCAAACACTGAAACTTCCAGGGTTTACCTGGATTACCTGGAGAAGCAGGCCCCATGGGACGACAAGGACAGCAGGTTGGTGGATTTTGTTGTGAAGCAATTAAAACTTCTTAGATCTGATTTCTTCACTTACCTCTCCTAAATGCTGGGCCTCTGAAGCCAGCTGATCAATACTTAAGGCACTTTTATCTAATCTTATGAGCTTTTTCCTTATTCTGTATATTAGATTTAAAGAAAGTGTGTAGGAATTATTGACACCTGGTAGTAAGATTTGAGCTCAATTTTCTTTGCCTGTGACTGTGTTGAGTCACCATAATATCCATTGATGAGATAACTTGAGACAGATATTGATGAATTCTGTTTTGTTAAAAAGAAAATGTATTTTTGATTAGCAGAGAGATTTTCAGTCCAGAAAAGGTTACAATGTTTTGTGCGGTCACCAGCAACGATTTTGTTTTTGCTTTGTGCTTGTAATAAGTACAATAAAATTAGCGTTCTCAAATTTCTCTTGCAACGTCACAACTTTAAGCTGCCGTTGTTTTGTTGGTCCATTTTGTTGGAATAACTTGGCAGTGCACCATGGCAAGCTCCATGAAAGAGAACTAGCTTTTATATTATATATTATTATATAAAATGTACACTGATTAATTAAACACTAAGTCACATTCATGGTTCATGCTCGAGTAGCCATAATGTCAGAGCCTACAATACAACCCTTATTGTAATTGTTCCATACTTTGAACATAAACTATGGTGTGATTAAGGCCCTGTTTAATGCTTAAAAAGAAAATATTATTTTTAATTGGCTTTTTTAATTGCTCCCTTTTTTTTGCCACCAATTAGTTTTTTCTATTAGAATTTAAAGTTTTGCTGTTCTATAAAGCAGTTTTCACATTTTTCATCAGGGTCCTCCTGGCCACACAGGAATCGAGGGCCCACTTGGAAGGAAAGGAGACCAGGTCAGTGGTAACAGGACCAAAGTTGCATACCCGAAATTATAAACCTTGGACTCCATTATTGAGGAAACACTTGAAATAAAATGTCTTTATTCTCATAACAATGTCAGAGTCAGACTTGAAAAACACTTCTGCCCAATCAGAATTGTAAGTTACAGTGGTCCCTCGCTTTAACGTGGTTCACGTTTCGCAGCCTCGCTGTGTGTGTGTGCAGTTTTCAATGTTTTTTTTTTCTTTACAGCGCATTGTGTTCTGCGTCCTGATTGGCTGTAGACCATTGTCAATCAATTTCGTGCCTTATCTCCTGTACAGTACAGAATGCGTTCAGCTTGTCAAATTTACATAAATCTTCGATTGGTAGCAGTGTGACTCTGAAGTGCTGCACTGTATGTTTGTTTTCTCCCCGACAAACACAAAAATGTCGATGAAACGCCATCACCTGCGGGTGCCTTTTTTTTTCATTCTATAATACTGCACTTATTTTTCTATGAAGGTTTGAACTTTGAGAGTGTTTAAGCAAGAGAGAAAAGTGTGAAAATGTTCATGTCTGTCTGAGAAAAGTGTCTAAAGTGTGTAGTGAGGAGTTTTACAGCCTTAAAACATCTGTAATAATTGTAAAAAATTAAGTTGGCTACTTCGCAGATTTCACCTATTGCGTGTTATTTTTGGAACGTAACTCCCACCATAAACGAGGGACCACTGTGCCTTGTATTAATCAGTGGCACAGATGAACATTTTCTTTAATTCTTTTATTGCAACAGAAATTAAATTCACAATAAATGTGACACCTCTGTAGCTGCAGCAATACTCAGCGCCTGTTCATTAAATGCTCCATGCTGAGCAACTTTAAGAAAATGGAACAGTCTGGTCTGGGTACAGGAACCTTAAATGTGGAAGTCATTAAACTACTTTTTCTTTTGGACCTCATGAAGCCAAGGAGACTTTGTTTAGTGATTTAGAACAGTCTGCAAGGGTACAAACGTTTGATAACTAACAACTTTTTAGCCTCCAAAAGCCTGATATCTGACTTTCCTACACTTTCCTGTTTGACAGGGGGATTTAGGACCTTGTGGGAAACCTGGTTCTAAAGGGCCACCAGGAGAGAGGGGACCTCAGGGGGGAAAAGGCCTGCAAGGACCATCTGGACCAGTCGGTAAAGAGGTAAGTACAATTATCTTTTGTTTACTTAAATTATTTCAGGTGTTGAAACACATGTCCAGCTGCTGTCTCTTAAATAACAGAGTTGTTGTACCGGTGGTGATTCTTTTTTTCCAGAACCCCGTTTCCTTTATTGAATCCTACAAGCATCCTGTCCAGAGTGTATTGTTGTGCAACAGATGTGCTTTTAATTATTGGTAGAATTAAATTACTCTCAGCTGAAAATCTGAAGGTATTTGAGGTCCTTTGTTTTGTTTTTGTTTTTTTAAAAAAGTATAAAATTGGTTTGAAAAGCATTAAACCCCCATTTGTGGTACATAAAATGTGGAATTCCATTTTCCTGATACTGTGGTAATGACAGTACCTATTTCACATTTTTAAGGTTTTGAAGTCTTGATTTTATGAAAGAGCAGAGAGAGACCATGTGGCTTGTAGTTTTTGTAATCATGTCAACAATGACATCTTTTTAAATCTACATTAACCCTGAAAGCACCACAAACAAAACAGGATGTGGCAAGATAAGTATCTTTTAATAATCTTTTTGTTGTCTGCAATACAACAGCGTTATTGTTTTTTAACAAAGTGAAGCCTGATATCTAGTTCAGCCAGCTCAAACTGTTTCCCACTCAAACCTCTCTCTCCTTCCAGTTTGATGGTGTATTTAAGCAGAGAAAAATCTCCTATCCTCATGTTTTAACCCTTCCACCAACCCGGCTGTTGGGCTCGGGGGAAATTTCCCTATACCTCCTCATGTCCTCATAACTATTTGCGAGAAGTCGTGCTTGAAAGCTGTAGGCCAAACTAACCGTATAATCTTCTCAAACATGAGTTTTCTGACAGATCTGATTCTTTATTACATGTAAAACATTGCCTTATGAAGACGGAAAATATGTTGGTTTTACCTCACTGTAGGCTTCCATTAAGTAACTTCTGTTCCCTCATCTTCTTCAGGGGGATGTTGGACTTCCCGGTGAAGTTGGAGATCCTGGGCCCAAGGGGGAGAAGGTAAGCTTCAGTTTAGTTAAAAATACAATATATTGAACAAGCAGGCGAGTTCTCTCTGGGTGATGTTTGCAGTACCGGTCATGTTGTTGTTAATGTGTGCAGGGTGAGCTGGGACCTCTTGGTTTGTCTGGTCGAGAGGGTCCCTGGGGACACCTCGGAGAAAATGGTGACAGGGGTCCAAAGGGGGAGAAGGGCCACTTGGGACTGATGGTGAGAATATGTGTACTCAACAGTTCGGTGGAAGTTGGATGTTACATTTTAGTAACACTACCCACATTTCCTTCAAGCTTGTTCAATTTCAAAACACCAACAGTGAGATTTATTAGAGCAATTTTTAAGAGCACTGAAACGCAAAAGGGTGACACAAAGGATAGATTATCTAAGATCTATCACTGTAAATTAAACAAAGAACTTCATTCAGATTTATTAAAATCATTGGAAACTGATGTCTTCCTCTTGAACAGGGTGAACCAGGACTGATGGGTGAACTAGGCCCTGTGGGCCTGCCTGGGTTACTGGTGAGTTGAATACCAGAATGTAGAGTATTGATGCTTTTGATATGCTGCTTAGAGTGCTTTTTGAATTAACCTGTATTGAATAGTTTATAGCTGTGACTGATATTTAATGACACACAGTTGGCTTTTTCCCTCACAACTCTGCAGATTGCAAACTGATGTTAATGTGCAGCTTTATTGTGCTGTGATTCTTTTCTCATTTCAGGGAATGATAGGTCCTCCAGGACGTCCAGGTCCCGATGGACCTCAGGGAGAGAAGGTAACAAAACGGTTTCTCATAAGAGTCACAGTGCTGTTAAGATTTATATAGTACATAATTCCAAATAAGAATTTTAAGCGTGCCCTCTAAGAATGTTTTTTCACGACGTTTCAGCAAACTTTTGAAGTGCTTTTCATTATGCACAATGAAGTCAAGCCTAAAAGGAGGCTCAGACTCAGAAAGACACTTCAATTGGTTTATTTTTACTGTGATGCGGGGTTAATGGACGAGTCGTAATAAAGAAGATGGTCTGCACTAGCAGGCTGGAGTTAGGCAATAGCTGTAGGCAGACTCGTTTCATCAGTCAGGGATAATCTGAGGCTCAAACCCAATAGTCTAGCAGCTTGATGAACGCTGTTATCACTTTGGTAGGAAAAGCCAGCTTAGATGCATAGCTGCTCAGTAGAGTTACTGAAGGGCAGGTGTGAATGATCAGTAGTCTGCTGGAGGGAATGAAGCCTCGTACCTGGACACACAAACATGGAAAGAGACTAAGGACAACAAGGGGAAAGAGACCTGGCACTAGAGGAACATATATACATGCTGCATCAATGAGTCAGTCACAATTTACACAATATGTTCTTTCTGAATTTACAGCTCATGTTATTTTCAGCCCAAACAGGGCAGGGTAGGTTTACTCACAACATGCTATCTATACACTGCCTCAGTACATTTCACCCCAAAATTCAGTTTATTTGAGTAATGTTGAGTTTTGGAATGGTTAAGCGTAATTCATCTCGTCTTTTTTTTTTTTTTTTTACAACAGTGGTGGCTTTTACTGCTATACCGTTTATGTTTTTGCCTACTGGTGGTGGTCAGAGGGCCCGGTGGCGCCAGTGTCCGGCACATACTGACTGAATGTAGTGTAAAGCGCTTTGGGGTCCTTAGGGACTAAGTAAAGCACTATACAAATGCAGGCCATTTACCATTCTTTATAGATTTTTAATAATCACCATTTGATGAGTAGGTGACACTCATAGGGATCATTTTCTATGGAAGAACAGTCACATGATCTCTGAAAGTCCTGTTTAGATTGGCCGTATGCTGCCAACACCACCCCTTTCATGTGAACTGGGGAAACCCCGAGTTAAATTAGCACATTGATAACCAGCTAAATGTGATCCTGTATCCTGATCAGTGAAGTGAATCCAGATAACAGAAAGCTACCCTGGGTATGCTGAACGTATTTCTGGTATAGAGCCCAGAACCTGCAGAGCTCTGTTTAAAGAAATACTTAAGCAGTGATTTGAAAAGGTCTTCATCCATGTCTCTCTAGGGCGAGCATGGGCCCGTAGGAATTACTGGACCACCGGGTTCAGCAGGCCCTCAGGTAAACTTTTTATTCCTTTTAATATTTTTTTAACTTAGTGTGTAGAACATATATACATGTAAAATTAAATTTACTTTCTCTTTCTCATGTTTCTAGGGGATAATGGGGTCACGTGGTGTCAGAGGAGATCCTGGGAGGCTCGGACCACCTGTAAGTGCCTTCTAGTATCAGAAAGTTGTTTCAAAGTTTCAAACTAATATTTCAGCATTGTGCTACTCTGTTCTATCCCAGCAAACATCAGTCAGTTAAGTGTTTGAGTCAGAACTTTATTTTCAAGTAATTTAAAGAAAGGTCGAGCAGAATACTACAACAGTCAAAATTTTTATTATGATCTTTAAAATAAATAATTGCCAAAGTAATTTAATAAACGCCTTTGACCACTGAAGTACCTGCAGGTGTACAAGATGTACTGTGTACAAGAGGTGTACTCAGCACAGTTCTTTACTTTACCTGGCATCTAATTGTATACAGGATTATACAGAAGCATTCTACTTCAAAATCACATTCTCTTATGTTATCTTATGTTAAATGTAATCAGATTTGAAGGGCAAGGAAAAATCAAAGATGTTACTAATATGTTACAAGACTTGTACCACATTTGTGACTCCTGCAGGGTCCAGTAGGACATGCAGGACCAAAGGGACATGAGGGAAGTAAAGGAGAACCTGGGGAACTGGGACTCAAGGGAGAGCCAGGACCTCCAGGCCCACCAGGGGAGCCGGTTAGTTTGATTTAGGTCTTATATGTATACTCCACTGTATAACATTTATTAAAATATAATTGTGCGTTGCCATCTTAATAATAACATTAAATCTAAAAACTGCATCTGTCTATAATATATGACCTCTTAAAAACATCCTCATATTAATATTGATCACTTGTGCAGGGCGATGATGGTCTTCCAGGAATTCAGGGTCCTGAGGCTCTGCCGGGGTTAGAGGTGAAAACCAAACCACTATTTTGAATTGTAAAGACTGCACTTTTCCTGCTTAACAGCCCTGACTTTGTAACTTCTCTTTCTATCTTCTCTTTTCTTTAGGGGCCTCCTGGAGAGGTGGGACCCCAGGGCCTCCCAGGTCCTATAGGTGTTCCTGTGAGTGCAGTTTAAAGCATAAAGTCACTATAGATGATGAAAACATGCCAGCTTGTTTAAAATTACTGTTCCTGGTTACAGAGTGTACACACGATGTGTTTGTGTGCCTGAAAGAAAGCCGCTAATGAGAAAAAAAAAATTGTCCTTGCAGGGAGTTCAAGGAAGACCGGGACCTGAAGGCAAACAGGGCATGAAGGGGGAGAAGGTACAATTATCATCTATCTTATCTATCTAATCTATCTCAGCTAGCAACAAGTGCACAAAACACTAAAGAGGCCCTACTAATGTGTTGCACAAAATGCAATATTCAGCTGCACCCACACAGGAAGCATTTTGCAGCAATATGGTGACCACAGAACACAGAAGATGAATGACATTTGATAACTTAAGCAACTATGGGCAAAAAAATGTTGATTCCAGCAAGAGTTACATGACAGGGTAGTAACCTGGAATGCCTATAATCACCTTTCAGCTTTAAAGTAATGCGCAACAAGTTTCATGAGACATTTGCCTATTCTTATGATTCCTCATAAAAATGGACAAAATGCCTATATCTTCTTTACTGTCACCTTTGGGTGCCATATATCTGAGTGTATATACATTCTTGGCTTTTGTGTCTGTGAAGGTTCTCAGTCATCCAGGTCATCGTAGTTTAAGGAGCTTGGAAAGAAAAAAGCGTCTGGACTTCTTTAAGTTACTTGAAGACGTTTCACCTCTCATCCGAAGGAAAAGCCAGCTTAGATGCATAGCTGCTCAGTAGAGTTACTGAAGGGCAGGTGTGAATGATCAGTAGTCTGCTGGAGGGAATGAAGCCTGGTACCTGGACACACAAACATGGAAAGAGACTAAGGACAACAAGGGGAAAGAGACCTGGCACTAGAGGAACATATATACATGCTGCATCAATGAGTCAGTCACAATTTACACAATATGTTCTTTCTGAATTTACAGCTCATGTTATTTTCAGCCCAAACAGGGCAGGGTAGGTTTACTCACAACATGCTATCTATACACTGCCTCAGTACATTTCACCCCAAAATTCAGTTTATTTGAGTAATGTTGAGTTTTGGAATGGTTAAGCGTAATTCATCTCGTCTTTTTTTTTTTTTTTTT